AAAACAATTAAATGGCAGAATTTTTTTATTTTATTTATTTTTTAATTTACCAAAAATAATTTGGAGCAATGTCACTTACAATGTGACTTATATTTTCATTACAACTCACTAGGGTCTGCTTTCCTGGCCATACTCTGCTATGACCACTGTGTCCATATTGTAAAATCTAATGATGCCTGTGCTCCAAAAGGCCTCTGAAGCTCCTCCCCCTTGTAATCTCGTTATAACAGACACATGGGGTCACGAGCGGCTCTGCATCCGACAAGAAGAGTTAATGAGAAACACACAAAGCTATAATATCAGCTGACAATAGGGTGTATTATTCTCCCATAACCTCATGTGAACTCTCCCTGATGCAAAGTAGCCAGTGTCAGCTCTGACCTTAGTGAGATGCCCTGCTTCACAATCAAGTACATTATGAAAGCGCTCATTTGGAGAGGACTGGTCATTAACCCTGCTACAACACACCCGGGAATAAGGCAGCCCACTGTACAAGCCAGTTAACTCTCGCCCTATTTATTTAGAGATTTGATACAAGATGCACAGAGGACACATCAGCCTGACACGCTCTGATTAGGGTTAATCTGACACACTGTCCTTTGTCGTAAATGTCACATAAGCCTGGGCTGATAGCAGTGGTGGAAGCAGTATTCAGTTTTGTTACTTAAGTAAAAGAACAGATACCAGAGCGAAAAAATACTAAAGTAAAAGTAAAAGCACCACATTGAAATAGGTACTTAAATAAAAGTGTTAAAGTACCGATTTAAAAGTGTACATAAGGAGTATTTCCTATGTAAAAAGTAGTACATAAAAGGTATTTCACTCAGGTTTTAGAGCTCTTATCTTCAGATGTAGTGATTTTGATACAGATTTTTGCTGAATTTTGTTCAACAGAAACAATGGAATCTATCAAGTTTTTTTTTTCCCTAGCTGTTTCTTTTCTTTCTTTTTTTTTTAAAAATATATATATTATAGTATAGTTTTGTTTTGTTTTTTTGCTCAAACTCTCAGGCTTTTCTCAGACAATTACAAAAAATACTTCTACTTTTAAGTTCAGTTAAAAAATGTAGTGGAGTAGAAAATACAGATACCTGCTCTTAAATGTACTTAAGTAAAAGTAAAAAGTATTCAATTTAAAATGTTCTTAAGTAAAATTCATTTATACTTAAGTACAATTCTTTACTACTTTTACTTTATGTTCCACCACAAGGTTAAGTTATAGATAGTTATAGTGTTACCATCTGAGACGTACATTTGAAATTAAAACAACATTTAAAAACTAGAGCCATTATTAGTCTGTTTATTGCTTAAAGGTCTTATAATGTATTATGTAAAATTGACTCTTGTGAGCTTTAAATCATGTTAAAATACTGTTACCTCATGGACAATATAACTGGAGTTGTGTTTTGTTTCATTCAGACATGTAATCCTTTATTATTAGTTTGTATTTCCAAAGTTCAAAGTGCTCTGTGTTATGAAGTACTTTACAGCTACCTTTTATCTTTAACTCAGTAGAGAATGGAAATTCCAGGGCTGAAATCATCCAAATGATTCAAGTGAAGGTGTACGGAGTTTAAAAACAAAATGGAGCACTTCCTACATTACCAAATGACATCACAAGGTGGATCAGAGTGTTTTCTGTTTGAGAGAAAAACTCAGCCTAAATATGCAGAGTGTGTGTTAAACATGTGTGAATGAAAAAAACACAACTCCAGTTATGACCAGAAAAGGATAATGGGCCCTGCATATGCATATAAGAGGTTAAACTATTTTCATTTTCATTCAGTTAAAATCATTACATACGATATTTTACTACAAGCCTTGTCTACTTTTTATGTTTTCTGAATTTGGTGAAGTTCCAGTTTTACTTGGACACAAATACGGCATGTGTGCAGGTAATTTCATAACTGTTACCTGGCAACCATAATGTTAACAAGAGCCAAAACTTGTCTGATCTGCACAATAGCTATGATTAAAAAATGAATGACAACACTTTTGTTTTGTTTATTAAAGGTTTAAACTGCCAGAAAAATGGCTTCCTTCCACATAAATTGTTCCTGCATTTTGGATGGTGTTGATGACAAAGGTAGAGCTATCCAGAAATACTTCTTGTAATTTTGCAGTTTTCTTCTCAACTTTTTCACAAACTGTCACTTAACTAAAATTACAGTAAAACCAAGTAATAATTAGAAAAACATGAAAACCTGTCATATGCCCTTTAAAAATACATTGCAGTGTGTAGTTTTGTGTAGTATGGCTTTAATGTGAATAGTTCTTACAAGCTGATTGTCCTTTCTTTCTTACGACACATATTTTTTTTTATATTTTAACAACAAAATATAGATATCTACAATCTACAACTGTGACCTAAAAGAGCTTTCAAATGTACAACTTGAATGCACAGTTGTTATGTAATTTGAGAACCTTGTTTGATACATGTTCAAATGCATTATGACTAAAATCTTTGGAAATTTGAAGCAGAAAAAATTGCTATGAAATGTGTTTAAGTATGGAGCTCAACAGTACCATGCCCAGAAGTAAATTTCTCACAAATGTTTCCTCTATTACGAAAAAATAAAATAAAAACAAATACAAATTTAAAATTAAAACTTAAAATCTGTTTCTGAAACTTTATGAACATGAGCTAGCCTAGCACCAGTGACCTCTGCAAATACAAGGACTGGATGGAATATTTTAAAAAGTGTCTCCACACGTCTCCAACACTCTGGCTCACTAGGAAATTAGGTCCTATGTCCAAAATTCTGGACTGTCCCTTTAAAGCATTTTGCAGAATCTTGTATTTTCAGTGTGCTGTTTGAACTTAAAACAACTGTGGTATGGATAATCACCAAGTATCTGGTTAGCCTCAGTTTCTGGTTTGTACTCTTATTATTTATTTTTATTAATTTCTAAAACCAGAGTGGGGTGTCACTGTTGAGCTCCGTTCTGCTAGAACCTCAAGTCAAAAGAATTAATGTGTTAAGTGTTTTTTTTCCCCCCCATTATAAATAACTTTATGGTTTAATTTAGGTTACATCTTATTTTCTGTTATTACAGGCTACATTTAAGATCTTTTTAAGGGTAACTATCATTGACTTTATTTTCCCCTCCGAAATCATGACATTTTTAAATAAATGAATTACTCAGTGACATTTCTTTTTCACATTTAATAAATAATAAGTTGTGAATGCTCTGAAGCTCTGCAGACTTTAATCTCACTCCCAAATATAAATATACATGGCCTATTAGCTCCATGCAAGTACAGCTAAGAAGAACAGGCCCACACAACTGTCACTCATCAGACAAGAGAGAAGGATGGTGCTACAGGTACTTGATAGACTACCTATAATAACCTGTCAACCTATAGCTTAGTCATTTCTGTAAAACTCAAAGTGCAAGGAAGAATCATTAAAATAGTGTTTTCATACAATCAGTAAGGCAATATAATTGGTTTAAAGTGGCAGGTTTTCATGTTTTTCTTAATTACATAGTTTGGTGGTATAGTATTTGTGGTAAATATGTATCATAGTTTTACATCAGTAGTGGCATTTCATGGGGAAAAAGATGAGGAAAAACAAAAACAATAAATACAGGAAGCAGCTGTGAGTTTTAAAACAACATGCAGACACACAAGGAAGGGATATTTACTGCGGTCAGGTCCAACAAGTGAACTTCTAATGTAGTGAACTTTTAATGTAAAATCTTAAATATAATGATGTTAACTATGTTTCAGTACAATGTCTCATGTTCTTTCTACAAAGTAAAAAGCATAGACATACATCTACACATCTATACACATCTATACTTCACATGCCCATGAAACCACCTGAACCAACCGTTGCTGAAGTCATTGTCCCGACGCCCTATTGTGTGTGATTGGGTTGATAGAACAATCTCAGTCTCAGTCTCAATATTGAATCATGATTTCAATAGAGCTGATGTGTTCCAGCTCCTGCCCTAGTATTATTCTTTTTCTCCTGCACTTATTCTACCTGCACTGACTGTGAAGGCTCAGAGATGAAACCTTTCACTGTAGAATCTTTGAGCTTGTCTTGTGTGTATGGTGTGTGTGTGTGTGTGTGTGTGCGTGCGACAGTGTGCGGCCTCTCTCTGGCACATGGTCCAGTGTTATTCAGCCCACGTCCCTGGAGCTCATCACCTCATTAGACTCTAGGCTTAATGTGAGGTGTACAGAGCTGGCTATGAAAAGATAGGAACAAAGCCCTCTGGTTCACTTAAGGTCACAAGAAAGAATAGAGCTTGTCTTTTCCCCCTGTATTTAACCAAGTAGTTTAAAATGTCTCCTGTCTTCATAGAAATCTTCAGGTCTGCGGCTGTGATAATGTTGGCTACTTATATGGCCTAAGAGGGGTAGAGTAGCCAACATTTGTAAAGGTGCACTGTGTAACTTTTCTGATGAAAGGTCCGCCACCTGCTTGTCTCCATGGATGTTATTGCTTAGCCTGAGATGTTCCATTGTATGACACTAAAGATATCCATGTAGCATTAACTCATTACAGGTGTTTCTGTTTCTCAAAAATACAATAATTTCTTCTATGAACAGGGGCAACTCTCCACAGATCTGAATTATAATGTAGCGCAGTGCTGTAACCTACTAGATTCCCTTCTGATAGATAGTTTATGGCTATACAATAGACAAAACAATTATATTTCCAGACAAGTAGGTGGTGGACCCTCCACGAAAAATGTTACGTACTGTACGTTTAAAATGTTGCAATAGAAGTAGAAGCAAAACGTAGTGATCAAAATGACTCAAATAAAGAAAAATCTTTGGAGAATCATTACTTAAATAATGACCAACGTTTTTACTCAAGAGTAACTAAGATAAAAGAATGGTGTCAGAAAACTACTCTGAAACACAGTACAGTACAGTATTTCTTCAGAAAGTTAATGAGTATTATATCCACCTGTTTATGGCAAATTCAACACAAGAAAAAGAGATTACTTTCACAATCTCATTTTATTTCAAGATGTATTTGTGTACAGCTCAAATGTTCTAGAGGAGTATGATTCACTCGAGTGCAGATCAATGATATGTCACCACAGACCTACTCTCTCACACCTTGAAATTAGACTTCCCCTGCAGCGCTGTACTTGTAAAACGCAGCTTCTGACAAATCGGCTAAAATTAGATACATTAAGAAGAAAATAAAATACATTTCCATATTGCAGTTGCACATAAATAAAAACAAACAGGCTAAGTCACATACATCAATGCTACTCTTAAGAGATGTATCATTTAAAGTGCTTTAGATTGGAGTCTATCAAAAGCATTCAGTTGCTTTTGTTCATTTGCATAACAGAAATGATATCGTACTGACTCTTTGTGGTTTTGCACAGCTCAGTGTCGATGTGGCTAACATTCCAGTATGGTTAAAACTGTGACCTTAGATAGTATCTGAGCGTATGTGAACATTTCAAAACATTCATAACAGATGCAGTGCTGCTGACAAAGTGCAACGCTGGGCAGTAGTGGTTGTTGAGAATTCATAGCCAGAAAATGTAGGTATATTTTTGACATTGCACTATTGGAGTCACTTATGTGCCTGTTCTTGTCAAATACACATTGTACAACATAGTCTATTGTCCTTTGACATCTTTCTTGGTCTTGAGTGAAATGTTACAATTTGTGAAATAAACTGATTTTGCATTTGGATTGATCCGGGCTGTGATGTGTTTTCTGCCCTGTTTGCTTCGCCGTAGCTCACTAGATGGATTGGCTGGAGAGCTAAGGGGGAGTGGAGACATTGATTTGCAGATAGGAAGCCTGGAGCTGGATTAGAAAAAAAAAATGGCTTGACATTACCTTTGGCTAGTGGGCATCTCTTTCATGCATACACACTCGCACACACTTCTGAGAGTGGCAACATTGGGGCAACATTGATTTCCTGTTTGGCTCTACTAAGCAATGAGAGGACTGGGTTGTTTTGTGAGCGGCAGCACACAAAACATCAGTGTGTGTGTGTGCGTGTGTGTGTGCATGCGTGCGTGCGTGTGTAGTCCAACTCTTAGAAACACCTTTACCTGTAGTGCCAAATACGACTCATCTTGATCGTAACGCGGGCCTGATTTCATCACTTGTTTTTCCGCCACTGCTCCTCCCATTATCTCATGCTGCGATCTTTCTCATCCTCTATATATCTCTCCGTCCTCTCCTTTTTTCATTTCCATTTGAAGCAATGGGCTTCTCCTGGCGCTGAAAAGCACTGTTGACTGCTTGGTTGGTTTGGCACATTGTTGGAGCGCCCAATAGGTAAACATGATTTATCAGAGGCTGGATCTGCTCATACACACGCACAAATACAAGAGGCAGAGCAATTTGGATATCTGGTGGCGGCCATCTTTGGTGACTACAAACACGTGAATGGCTGTGTATTTGTGAGCTCATTTTGCGACAGACACCAGCAGAGCTCAAAATGGAAGCCTTCATGTTTGATACGCTTTGTTATTAAACTTGTGCAGTATGGGAGCACACTCTGTTTGGCTGTGTGGTGTTCTGCTGTGTGCTATAGGAAGTGCGTGCTGTGTCCTGTAGTCTTTCTCTAGCTCTATGTAGGGAGCATTATTGGATGCAGTAGACCGGACCGTGCCAGAGGCGTACAGACGAGCGGGCACACGGCGTGACAGAGAAGCGAGCAGTGCCGCTGTCAGAAGACCTTTTTAACACACTGGTGCTCTCCGGTCGGGGACATTTTGGGAGCCACTGACTGCAAAAGGGTCTCAAGTAAAGGAGAGATAAACACAATTCTTCCAAACTCCCACTGAAACACCTAAAGCCCTGCAGGCTCCCTACCTGAAAATACCCAGCTAATACCTTTGATGTTCCCACAGCGATGTGCAGCAGCGGGACGGGTGGAAGACGGGGAAAATGACACAACCCTGACTCTGAAGTGCACTCTCACAGCTAATGAATGCCTCTCTCTGCTGTCATTGACACAAATGGGTCAAAGGTGCAGCGTTTGTAGTTTATTTAATTCAAGGTTCTTTTAAGTCAGACTTTGAGAGTTAGGCATTTCACCTGAGTTTACTGTAGCCTTTCTTTACTTACTTACTAGACTTGACGTTGTGAAACCTGTTTTAAGGATGACACTGAGAGCATGTGAGCTAATATCTGCAGGGAAATGAGCTATTCCCATTTCTGCTTATATGCTGATAAACAGTTAACATTGCACACTCCTGCAGTTTTGATTCCAGCTCTTTTTCTGCATTAATTCAGAAATAAAACTGCAAATAAGATTGCATCTTAGTTCCTATGAGATCTTTTCATTCCATACACTTCCTTAATGTGCCTTCTCTCTATATATCTCTCCCTCACTCTCTCTCTTTCTCTCCCCCCCTCTGTCTCTCTCTCTGTCTCTTTCTGACCTTTGCTTTAACACAACTAAGGTCAAATCCATGTCACCTCGCGCTACAACACTCCTCAGACCTGTGTCAGGGGGTAGCTCCTCTCCAGGACCCCACAGGCGCTGCAGTGGCTCATAGATAAAACAATGATCATGAATAATACATAGAGCTCATGGTGCCCTGGTGTGTGTTGGGTTAACAGTTGTCTTTTGGCGAATAGCCATCCTAATGCTGTTTATTAAAGGGACAAACATGTTGTGAGGTGGGACCTTACTATAAGATGATGTGGAGTGAATAAAATAAACATGTCACAGAATCAGTGAAGTGTAAGTGTTGATGGGAGAGTACTAAGCTCTTCAGGTTGTCTTTGGCTTGGGGAGGCCTGAGCGTGCAGTGGAGTTTAGACTCTTGGCTGTGGCGGGGTCTCTTTGCCTGCTGTGGCTGAACGCCTCTGGACTGGACCTGGGTAAATCCCTGTAAGGCCGGGGCACTAGAGTGCGATTCTCACTGGAGGTGTGCACTTGGGCTCCAGTGTTAAAGCAGGGCAGGCCTCTGGATGGAGGAGGCAGCAGCTGTCTGCTCTGCACAGGATGTCCACCAGCGCCCCCTGGCTTTAGCGCAGGGAAGGACACACGCTTGTGGAGGCGAGGGGGCTGCAGCACCCGAGAGCCCGCCAGAGCACTGGGTCCTGCAGAGACAGAGGAGGCCTGAGGCTCACCCTGAGGATCTGCTCTGACACCTGCAACAGCAGACTCCCCGTGTGGAAAGGAGGGGTACTGCAGCTGAGCGTTGAGCACCTGACTCAGCTCTGGGTCAGCTGTGACACGGTGAGGCTGCTCACTGCGGCCCCCGGTGCAGGCTGCTCTTGTTAGTCTTCCCTGGTGCTGAGGCTCTCTGAGGCTGGGCTTGAAAGGCTGTAGTATTTGAGGCTGCAAAAAACAGAGTGATTATTTTTTATAAGCAGCTTTGACAAGTTCAAGAAGTAAATGCATCTAATATAACACTGTATAAGGCTAAATACACTTTACACCCTTTATACCTATGAGTTCTATTCTGTGAAAACTGAACAGACTCTGTGTCTTTGTAATAAATTGAAGTCCTAACTACTTCTGGACCTGTTCAGACACAGATACATGCTATATATAGGATGACAGCAGGACCAATACAAGTGTCAGGTGCTATAAATGGGCCAGTTCAACTCTATGCACAACAAGAGCTCTGCACTCAGCTCACATCTAAGTCCATTATTAAATATTTGTGGAGCTGAACACTTCTCATTATCCAGAACATCAAAACAAGACACTATGGCTTCAAACGAGGTGAAACCCCCTCTGATAGCGCCACAGCTCAGACTCATTAGATGCTCTACACTGGACTTTGGATTGGATTCGATTGTACAAGAGCTCATCTTATATTCTCCCCCGACTGCAGCATCTGCTCCATTTGTTTATTTGGAGTTACTGAATCATCTGCAGATGCTCAACAAATCAACCCCTCCACTCTGACTCTCATTTATACGAACACAGACTACCAAAATAAAGGCTAACAATCAAACATAAAACAAACAATACAAGTTATTCTTCTTCTGTTTAATCTGTTACATCCGTGTAACTACCGTATACTGTTTCAAATTAGATTAATTGTCAAAACTATTCTATGTATTTTGAAGTGCAGTATATTTAGCTTTGGATGCTTCTTTATAGAGATTGAAGGAACTCACCCCTAGTTATTGTACCCATTCCTGTCTTAATAACCAAGATGTTTGAGACCACAGCTCCCCCTCCTGGTTAAGTTTTGCCTTGCACCCACTAAATCAAAAATATACTCTCCAATATCCAGTGTCTTTCTGGAATGTTTTGTCACAAATGTAACTGGTTTCTATTTGAGTAATTAGTCATTTGATAAATTTGTTTGGCTTTGACATTTTGTATCCCTTCCCTTTACTGATTTATTCTGTGAGTGAGTAAGCACTTTCTCCTGACTCTCCTAAAATAACAGCTTTGTTCCGCTTGAGGAGTGATGGGTTATGATGCCAAAGCACATTTGCAAATTAAATCAAGCATCAGTAAGCCCGGTGGCATTAGCGATGAAAAGTTGTTATGGCGTTTCCCTGTGGTTCAAGAAGGTCCAAAGTCCATTTAACATTAAAAATACAGGCATCTACTCTGTGGTGTAGGAACTTGTGGTATTCTTTCTATAGGCTCACCACCTTCATTTGCACTAAACAGCTGTCTGCGGCAGATACTAATAGAAGACGAGCGCTTCACTGGCAAGAACTCAATACCTGGGCTGCTAATGATAGCTATTTAGAAGCACTGTGAATCACCAGCCAGGTCTATGAAGGTCTCCTACTCAGGGGCACCTGGACATCTCAAGGGCCACACACACACATGTGCAGACAAATACAGAGAAGTGATACTGGTGGGATACCAGTGCAGAGGCCCATATATTATGGTCTCCGATCAGACATTTTTATGTGCTACTTAAGAGTGAGTAAGAGGAAGGGAAACAGCTCATACGTAATCAATTTTCCATAAATGATTTCTATTATTAAAATAAACATTGAATATTCGAGAAGCCAAAGTTTGGGACTAATCCAGTGCATGGAAAAAAGAAACCACAAGGGGAATACATCAGTGCATGCATTATTGTAATATAATGACAAAAATGCAATGAGCAGGAGGAATTCATTTCCCACTTTCATAAAACAAGTAAATGAAATTTGTGCAAGAAACACCAATAATGAATTGAATTCTAATTAAAATAGCAGAGCCATGGCCTAAAACTGTCAGACGTTTGAACAGAGAAGTCTTTGAGTTTGAATACAAGTGTAAAACTTAATAGAATGAAAAAAATGAAGCACTCATGCAAATGGAAGAGGACGTGCTGGTGTCACAACACATCAGGCCCAGGCACAACACAGCGTGCAGACGGAGAGAGGCCGCCTGTCGGCCACGTGTCAAAGGAAAGGTTACTGTACCACGCTTTGTCAGTGAAGAACTGCACTAGACTTTCCACTTCTCGGGTTAGGCGCAAAAAGACAAGACAAACAGTCAGCTTCTTTTACATTTTAGATCAGACACATGTTAGTAAAGAACTCTGAATCAAAAATTAGCACACAAAATCAGTCTTTTCATGTTTACAAAATGACAGCGTTTGGTTCCAGTCTTGCTCTGGAACTAGCTTGTTTCGGTACTATACAAGGAGGAGGCTGTGGGCTTTTGTTCATGTGACAAGACTAATGTTATTCTTTGGTTATAAGCTGTATTTTGCTACAGCCTCATATGATGAAAAACATGTCTCTAAATGTACAGTTGAAATAAGCAGTAAAGCCTGCATTCCCTTGGCTTTCCTTTTCAACATTCACCTTTTTCTCTCCCTCACATCTGTGCATTTTCCTTGGCCTATTTGCACACTGTGATTCTGTTTATTGACTTCCTCGATAAGCTTCTCAGCACAGCACAAAATAAAAGCTCCAACACTGACATAGCTAAAATCATTTTGATAGTTTGTGTCTGTTTCCAAGTGACTGTCTTTTGTAATAGAATAAGATTATTCAAATCTAGAGAAACCGATAAACAAGTTCCTGTTGTGAGCATCACAATGCAATGCTGTCAAAGATAAAATGCAGTGATTGTGTACAACAACGTGTTTATAAACTTTTATGAGCTGCGTATGCTGAAGACACCAGTATTTAAAGAGATTTGGGCAGAATATTACTGAAGGCTTCAGTCTGTAAAATAAAGTGTTAGGCAAACGGTTAGAGTGTTAGTAAACAAACAAGATGGAAAATTATTATTCAACCACAAAACCCCTGCTACAAAAATACTGGAAAATGTAAATGAATGTTCTGAATCTTTTTTCAGATGCTAATCATTCCCCACATGTTGAAAAAGTGTCACCACACTGCAGTTGTGTGTTAGTGACTCACTGTGTCTGTGCTGGGGCATGCTGGTGCGGGCCAGGCCTTGGGCTTGTGCCTGCCATGGGGACAGCATGGGGGTGGGCAGCACACCCTACGCAGAGAAAGACACAGGACAAAAGCATGACGCACAGGAAACACACAACATGCTCGCACCACACAAGTGTTTTATTCTGAGAGAGACATGTCTGTGATTAGGTTGTCCCAAATAAGGACGGCTGTCAATTTTATGATCTGATTCCAGACCTTTCTGCACTCAAACAGAAAGTAGAAGGGACTGGCTAGCAACTGTAACTTGGGAATTTGATGGTGACAGCGTCTTTGGATGCAGTTTTTATTTGGTCAAAGGTTCATTTCTAGATTTGTTTGTTAGTGTGTTAGCAATATAACTTAATACAGAATGATTGGATGATTTGAGGACTATATTTTAATTTACAGCTTCACACTAAAACATCTAAAACCTAAATGCTGTTTATTTAATTTCAACCTAACTGATTTATTTGACATATTATTTATTCTTATGTCACACCACAGACCAAACTGAACACAACACCTTCATCAGCAGTCAGTACATTGACAAACACATGCATTCATTGACACTCCATGTTAATGATGTGAATAATGTTACCCCCTGTTACATACACATTTCCTTTGCAACACTCACCTTAGGTTAGTTCACATGCAACAAGCAGTCCTTACAATCTCATTAATAGAAGTGGAGACATCATAACAGAGTTTTCTGTTGTCCTTAAGTAGCTTTGTGTCCTTGTCTATTACTGAGACCCATTATCACTATCATTCATCTTCAAGTCTATTTTGAAACCTGAGTTGTGTGGTGCTTTAGAGCCCATTAAGGGAAGTGTGTGTGCTGAAATATGTTTTAGGGGGGAATAGAAAGCTCTTATGTTGTCAAGCAACCTCCATATGAACTGTTGTTTCAGCTTTTCTTTTGTACAATATATTTTTACACAATATGATTAACACAATATGTTTCTGTCGGATAAACATTACAAGTGGCCAGCCATTGTATTTCAAGGTTCCAAATCTTACTGAGTGAACAAAGCTGTGGGTTAAGCTGTCTAAAGATGGTCCAGACCCCATGGGGAGAGGCAAAGTGAGGAGGCAGCAGAAATATCACGTTGAGCGGACAACGCGCTACTTTATCAAATGCTTTTCCAGGCAGGCTGTAAGCAACACAAATCAAAGACGTATAGAGCACACAATGTCTAAAAGAGAGGAAAATGAAAAAGCACAGAAAAGAGAGGTAAAAGTGACTTCTCAGCACGGCCTCCTGGTGCCACTGCTGCGAGGAGGAACGGGCCTGTGTCCTCTTCTGAAAACCAACAACTATTTCAGCAGGCGGTCTCCACAGAAACCTCCCATCGTGCCTTCATTTGTGGAGGAGAAAAACCTGAGGCACTGAGAACAAGAGGCTGTGTTGGAGGGCTTACAAACTATTCTGACATTGTCTGGCAGCTTTATTAGACCTTCAGTGCAACGTAGCTGGGCATCTTTCTATGTCCCCCTCACCTGCTCTGAGATGGTTCTTTTAGAAAGCCACTGGCAGACGAGCTAATGGCAAAGGAACAAAAAAAACATTTGAACAAATAAAATAAAAATTTTATTTCATTCCATCAAGTCTGTTATTTTTCTGATCCATTCGTGCACAAACCTTATTTTAGTGAGTGGTCAGTAGTAGGATCTGTCTGTGAAGAACTGCACTTGTGTTCACCATCACAAACGTGTGCAGTAGTAGTAAAGAATGTGCAGTGTAGTATGTGGCATAGTAGTGTATAGGGCCATTATGTCACATCATCTATTTCAATCTAAGTGGCGTGATCATAACAGACGAATCACAGATGAAGGTAACAATGACACTGCAAAGACATCTAACTTGAGTCATGGCTCGATCATGCACTGAACACTGTTTAATTAAGAGGACTGTTCCTATTTTAAGTGTTGAACATTGCTACTAGCTGGCACCATTTCATTTCCTTAAGCAGAGGCCTCGATACATTATGCATTAAATGAAAAGTAGTATATTGCGCAGTGGGGTTTCCTCCATAATGTAACACACTTTGAGGATCAGGTGTGTGAGTTGGTGTACATGGATTCCCAAAAGCAGATGGTAAAAGTGTCTAAGTAGTTGACAGATGAGAGAACGCGCTCTCCTCTGACACTTCACTATGTAATAATCAAAGATGACAACAAAGCCATGGCCCTGTGTGTGACCCAGCCTTTATCAGTCCCCTCCTCTAATCCACTGCACTTTTGGAGGTGGGCTATAGCTAACACCTCATGTCTCGCCACAATCTCTCACTTGACTGACTCAAGCAATTAGACTGTCACCTGTCTGCTGCCGTGCACATGCATTAATGGGGCCATATGGGTGTAAACAGCGCTGTCTGCGACCGAGGAGCTGGAGAGAGAGCATTGTTGGCGCTTAACCCGGGATCACACAGATTCTTTTCACCTGCAAATTAGCTGTAAAAGTTTGGAGCACATGCTTTATAAAACAGCTCTTATCTCTTATGGGTGCACTGGCTCTGTGCTTGGTTTTGTCTTTCACGAGCCTGTCTTTCAGCGTGACAGGAAATTGATCTAATTATAACGGAGGTGTCGGCTGGAGATGTAATGTCAGAAGGGGAATAACAGAGACAGGCATACGGAGTGAAAGAAAGAATCGGTGCAGTGTGAGAAGAGCACAGAGGAACCTGGAGGACTGTGAGGTTGGTGGGAGAGAGAGGAGAGGAGGCGATGAAGAGGAGGTTTTAAAGGCGTTGAAGAGTGGGAGGGGATCTGTAATTATCCTGTGTGTCTGCTGCAGAACAAAATGCTGCCGATTGTGCTGCCATCGCCTCAATGTTTGTTTATGAGGGTTAGAAGAATCAGGTTGGCTCTGTAGTCCTATGTGTGCCCAACTCATACCCCAAGTACTGCAGTCTCTCCACTCACTTGACTCCCAGACTCAGAACATCATTTGGAATTTGCAGCAAGAGGCAGCAGATGCACTGGAAACGTTTGTTGAGCAGTGATTGCAAAGAGTTGATCTGAGTGACTGATTTTTCAACAAGTGGGATTTAAGCCACTGAAAATCTGAAATTACAAAAGCACTCAGCTGTAAACTCTGGTTGTGTCTTGTACAAAGAAACAAACCCAAAACATGTTTAAATAAAGATCTGGGAAAGTCAATTGGCTTTGAGTGGATTGTGATCAAATACATAATGTCTGGCAAGAACACTGATTAAATCTGAAGGGCAATTCTGTTATTCAAAATAAGTTTTTATATAAACTACGAGAATGGCTTGAAGATAGCTGTAGGGGAAAAAATAACAATAGCAAATCCTTAAAATCCTCTGTCCAAAACTGTTGCAGGTCAAGGGGCCAGAGCATTTCCTTTGTTGTGCGCTTAACCTCAGTTCAAAGTGTAGAGAGATCCTCCTAGAGCTACTATTCAAGTTGTCAGCAGTGTTCGCTAGGCTCCCGATAAGGGCCTCGATAGCAGCATTAAATCTACACACAGGTTTGAGATCATGCCCTTTGACCTTTATATTATTGTTGTCTTCCCCTTTAGCTTAGCCCTTGATGATACTATCAAGAAGACTGCCCCGTATGCGCTACAATACGAAAGCACTTCATAAATCAGGCAAAATGAACAGGGCGCCGTAAGCAATGAAAAAAGGAACAATACTTGAGCAAATAAAAGCTAAGGTAGATTCAAGTTTAAAGGTAAACTCACAAGTCTCCACAAAAAGGTGTGTGAGAAATACAAAAGAGAAAAGCAAAGCACTGTTCAGAGATGGCTAAAGCCAACTTCGCTGGAGGTGCTATTCTAGTCAGTGTGCTCCCAGATCTTTCAGCATGTTTAAAGTAGGAAAGAAGACAACGCACTCGCCTCACCCTGTTTGTTTACCATGTTTGCCCTTGTTATTTTCATATAGTCCTTTGTGTACCTACAATGACAAATCCACTCTGTGTTCCATTACGAGACTGTTAATGTACACTAAAGCATTGAACGTTTACACAATCCTGTCTCCTCTTGCGCTCGGCCCTGGATTAACGGTTGCCATGGTAACTAACTGCTAAACTATGTGTGCAGGAGCGACACGCAGCTTGGTCACGCAGCTTATACTTGTTTGGTCTTTGATCCCACATGATTTGATGTAGATTTATAAAGATACTGAAATATTACAGGTGCCTCATGTAACTTTTCGACTGGGTGTCTGTCACCTCGAATGTTCCACAGTATGACATTAAACAGCTCTACTTTTACTCTACATTTATTCAATTACAGGTGGCTCTATAGTGCAAAAACACCTAGAAAAACAGGCATTCTGACTGTGAGTGGGGTTGCGTCTCCACAGGTCTGACCTATAAGTTGGTCTGGTTTGGTCTCTATGAAAATACAAAGGTTTAAAGCCACACTGTGAAACATTTCTGACAAAGCATCTCCATGGAGAATAGCAGGTGGCGGACTCTCCCCTAGAAAAGTTACACAATGCATCTTTAAACCCACATACACGTTTTTTTTCTCCTCTTTGTCTGAAAACTCTTCTTTCTCTGCACTACCCACCTGCCCCTGGACGTTGCTGCTGTCACTCTGTTGCACTGAAGGGTGGTCAATTAGAGCTGGGTTTACTCGCTGCCTGCCTGTGGCGCCACTGCACGGGGATCGATACTTGGCTGACAACGCACTATTATTGCCAGATACCCAGCAAAGATCTTTCTCTCCCACTCTTTTCTTTCTCTTATTTTCCAACCGTAATGCCTTTTCCTTTCTGCGAGGATTAGCCGCACGCTTCCTGTTCAGTGTATAATTGTACAGTAGGAGAGACAGACTGACAAGACAAGTGCCCAGCTAATGAAGTGTATTCCATAAAGAGGATGTAGTATAGTCAGCAGACGCCTCAGATACGGCTGGATAGATAGTGGCAGCAGGTGCATTAAGTAGAGTGACTCAGCAGGCGAAGGTTTAAAATAAAACCCTCAAGGAGCAGTAAAATGAGCTGTGATTGACAAATACTAATAAAGTTTGGAATCATACTTCCTATACGCACTTAACTATATAAATGCGTATGTGTATTCAGATGAGGTGCTGAGTGAGACTGCCATGTGTTTACTCACAGTGTTAGCAGGAGGTCTATAGGCTGTCTGTGTGGCCTTGTCATAGTGCTGCTGCTTCCGTTTGTCCATCTGCTGGTCACTGGTCCGCAGAGAGTGTGGCGCCCTCTGGTGGGGGCACTGACACCTGACCTGATGTCCCTGAGCAGGCTGAAGGGATAAAAGGGAAAAAAAATAAATAAAAGAGCATATTTCAGATTGTATTAAATGGAAAAGAGCATTTGACCTTCCTTATTTCACATTACTCTTTATTACAAGGATTTATGATTACTACTAGATAAGGCTAGTTTTCCAAGATTCAGGATTCAAGACATTCAAGAAATATATTTTCCATTCGTGCAAACACAATAGTGGTACCCACTGGAATTCTTGTGCAGGGCTCTCGGGCATTCAAGTAAAAACAGATAAAAAAATGCATTTGAGAAAAAATAAATAAATAAAAAATACATCTGCTAAGAAAATACGCATTAAGTACATCATTTGAATAGGGCCAATATTTAAAAGCAGCAGAGAAGTGGACCACTATTACTAATAAATACTGTATATGGCACATAATACTGTATATTGCACATAGTACTGTATATTGTACATAACAATGAGATAGCTAGTACTAAAGAAGTTTTCCATAAGTCCATTTTATTGATGACCTTCGTCTCTCCCAGTGGAAAGTATGTGAGGGCGCTTTCAACATTTCACACACATTTAATAAACCAGTGAAAATAACAAAGTCTGATGAACTTTGTGTTAACTCAAAGGGAATTGAACAAGCTGCTAGAACATGAGTCATGAATCTGACCTTCTGCATATATGTGTATAGAATATGTGCAGCACAGGACACGCATTGAGACTCCACTCTGCTCTTTTCTTTCTGTGTCTGGGGTGAAGGCCTAAACAATGGGCATGGGAGAGTGCTTATTCTAATTGGAGGAGGCATGTGATAGCTGCACTGCTGGACAGGACATCCATTGACATTTTGGTATTTGTGGATATGGTGTGGATTTGAATAATGTGAGCCGGGCATACAGCTGTTTGACTAACAAGGAGCTGGTCAAGACACTAATGAAAGACACAGAGCGTATGGAGGAGGTAAAGCAAAGCGAGCAGGGCTTCTGGATCACAAGGGTTAGTACAATCAAATGAAGAAAAGGAAACTATCTCCACTAATAAGGGCTGTATAAAGTACCAACATGTTTTTAAGATGCATACAGATTTTCTTATATAAATAATTAGGTTCCAATGGTTAATCTGAATGTAAAGGATTTAGAATCCCTGTTGTACCCTGATTTAAAAACACTAGAACAAACAGTCGAATGTTTCTTAAATCATGTGTCATTTATTTCAAATAGACATTTAAAATAGGTTTTGAAGCAGCAATAGAATCCCCTCTCATTAGTTTGTATCTATGGTTTTATGCTGGGACATAATGAACTATCTTTGATGACTACACAGTACATGTCATGTCCCAGTTTGAAATGCCTTTGATATACTTTATTCTCTTGTTGTAAAGTGGGATCATTTCAATCTGTGACCTTTGTGGTAAAAATGGCTAAAATATCTTGTTAGCACGTTCAGAAAGCTAATTTGCTTTTATAATGTAATTTTGAGTGCAGAGTGCAGGAGAAGTTGTCCAGATAATTAACATGCTTTCTTTATTGTGGCAAAAGCTTGTTATCACAGCATCGAACAACAAACATTTCTCCTGACTTGTCAGGCCAGAGTTTTTCTCTGCCTTAAAGTTGGTGGAAAGAACACAAGCCAGCGCTTTGTGTTCAGTGGCTCCTGTTTTCAAAGCCAGGTCCGGTGTAGAAGCACTCACCATTTGTTGGGGCTGTTGTTGTTGTAGCTGTTGACACTGCAGTGTGAGCTGAGCTATAGTTCTGTCTCGACTCTTCAGCTCCTCCCTGAGACCTTGCACTTCCTTAATCAGCTCCTGAAGCTGGGACGTACACAAACATATATACTGTGAATGCAGTGGACTATATAAATTATACATTATATTCGATCAATAACAGCGCTAAACTCCGCTCACCTTATCTTCAGCCTCCACCTCGGCCACATCATCTGGAGAGTCTGTATCTTCAAGCTAGAATAAAAATAATGTTCACTCACAGGCGGGAGTGACAGTAAACCGTGGATGTGACAAACACCTTGAGCACTATGTATTTACATAAGATGAAAGGTAAACATACACAACTTTCCCTTAGCGGTAAACTTCCTGAGGCACTGTATCCAATCAGCTTTTTAAACATTTGAGGTAAAGCCAAACCCCCAAAGAAATAACACATTGCTGCTTCTAATTCATAGCTCATCACCAAGATAAAAATATGAAAGAATTTGGTTTGGTTATTGTTTTTTACATGGGTCACTAGTAAGGATGAAGGCTTTTGACTTCATGTTACACCATAGAAATCATTTGACGCTTGTAACACTTGTCTTGTCTTATATTGTGCCATATTAGGAGGTGAAATAGAGTGTCTTTCTCTCCTGTAGTCTGTGGACCTCACCTGCAGTAGATCTCTGAGCCTGAGTAGGTGACTCTTGAGGGCGCTGCAGTCCTGGGACATGTGCTCCAGAGTGAGTTCATCCAGAGCTGGGATGTGGCCGTGCTGTTTTCCCTCAGAATGAAAGGGTCGTGAGGAAAACCTGGGTGCCTTGTAGCCGTCATAATGTTGAAAGCCGTGCATTCTGGGAAAACAAGGCAATATGTCACTGCTCTGAATCCATGAGAACAGTTTGTGACATTTAGTTTCAAACCTGCTGTTGTTGTGGAAGTGATCCGGGGCACTCCAGCGGTGGTGTCTCCGCCGTGGACCCAGGCGACCTCGCTCTGATAGCTCCACATGGGACATTTCTAAGTTAACAAACAAACAAACACAAAGCCACTATCAAGTAGACTGGAAATATATAGAAGCCCCTGTTTTACATTTAAACATTATGTTCTAAAAGTAATGTATACATGTGTCAGTCATATAGATGGAGGAGCTGGTGTGTTAAATCAGTATGCTGTCTTCCTTTTCCACCCTCTGGTTCACATATGGAGAAACTACTGCTTGAAACCCTTTGGTAATGAACAGTTCTGTATGTATTTCACTGAGCCTATAGAATATATCCATATAAATCATGATCTTATCCTTCTCAGTCCCTATTTCTTGCTACTGACTCCAACATCAAATGTGAGCACAGAGACACTGACAGACCATTCAGTTTTCAAGGAGGTAAAAGGACAACGTATTTGGGAACACTCAATAGCATATAGCTGTGAAATGAACCATGGCTGCAGCTAAATTGACAACTAACAGAGCGCAGTGCCAGGAAATCAAAAGGACCTCTGACCTCCTACTGTATATGTTTGAAAGTCTGTGGGCCGAGAAATAGATAAATGTAAGTGAGATCGTGAGAACAAATCCAAGGAATTCAGCGACCATGGTTAAAATACTTTACCGGGTGTCACCACAGCACAGTCTGACCCAGAGTGAACCTTCTACATTCCAGTGCTCTTGTCTGGTAAACTCCTCCTCATATATTAGCACATTGGGAATATAATCCAAGTAAAAAAGTGAAATCCATTCAGCCTGGGAAACTTGGGCAGGAAAGCGGAACAAAATGACTTCTGTCCGGTCAGCTGGTGAGTCGTTAAAGGGCCAGAGACAAGTCCGCCCCCTCTGCCTGCTACGACCTGTGTCGTCAGGCGCGTTTCTTCTGGGAACACCCAAAGATTTGGAGAGGAGAGAGGGCTTAGCTATCGTGGAGAAAGCTGCTGGCTTTAGGAGGAGTCACTAACTGAGGGTCAGGAGGGAAATGTGAGGGTCAGCAGCCAGGCCTGTTCTTTTCTCTCCAGTGTTTATTTGAAAAGTGAAGAGGCAGCGACAGACGGCAGAGGAGGGGGAACCACGACCCTGTGTCCGGCCTCTGTTCCACTCCTCCACTCTCTCCCTTCACTCTCTCTCTTTAGCAGCAGCTCATGATGTAGAGAGCTATAAATATGGCAGCTTCCCAAAATGGAGGCCTCCTCTTCCATTCACATTCCTCTGGAGTGAACATTCCTGCACCTCTGTCACAAACAACAGCTCTGTAAACCATTACGTAGTAGCTACTGTCATAACCATAGCTTTAACGATTCAGCTGCAAATCTGATCAAACACATACAACTTGACATTTGTACCCTGAGTGTGTCATGGCACTGTTACACATGTGATATTTGAGGTCAAAGGATTACACACAGAGTGATTTAGTGTTGAAAGAGACATTTACACTGAAAGCATGCTGCTGTAGAAAGAACATACAAATCCATCAATGAAATGTACAATGTTAAATGAAGGCTGTGCGCATCAGCTCACACAAACAGAATGGGAAATGCTACTAAGCTTCTTCAGAAACCACTGTTTAGTAGTCATTTGTCTTTTATATTGCAGCTGTAATACTTTTCAGCTCCAAAATATTGGAGCAGAAGAGCACAGAGTGGCAAAGTGTGCATTACTGATTTAAATGAATGCCCCAGAAGCTGGATTCCCCCATTTCACTCTGCTGTTATAGGAAACAGGGAAATAAAAGTGGAAATAGTATGCCTGAACCCTGGATGCAAATGCATTCATTTACAATTACAATCAGAACATTGTTTTGCTGGAGGTGTGCGATTATTCAAAAACTAATGGGCAACCTCTAGTCAATGAGGCGGAAGCATTTGTCATGGCCTCCAAATGACCGAGTACATTTAACTTCAGTGTAGTAATGCAGTGTGTGTGGTGTAGTAATGCACTGTGTGTAATGTAGTAATACAGTGTGTGTAAAGTGCTGACCATGCAGGCTGTCCTCAGGCAGCTCCACCTCCAGCATCAGGTCATCCTCCTCCAGCTGTGCGTCTGTCAAAGGCTCTAGGTGCTCCAGGATGTCCTACCAACACATTACATCACATTACAACATGACAGAAGAACACATTACAAGCCCATTAGAACCACATTATCACCACAATAAAGTCATTCAATCATGTTACTCCAGGTTTAGAGCATGCCTTACAACCACACTGTGACAAGACAAATTAATAACACAATAATACCTAACATGTCCTATTTGTACACCAATTTTACATGGTGTTATTATGTGTAAGTAAATGTCTGCCACTGACCCCCTGTATCAGGAGCAGAGCTAAGTTAAGTATTTTGAGGATGACTTTGTATTTTTTGCTATTAAAAGACAGCAGCACAGTGTCTGCCTACAGAAGTAATCATGTCTCCCACCAACCATATGGTCGCATCTTACAATTCAGTTATAAAAGACTAACATCTGGGTGTAAAATCTGTTTTAATAACGACATGCAATGTGTGCCTGTTCTTAATGTTTTGTTTATGAAAATATAAATATGCAGGAGAACTGTCTGTATCCGCACTTCTCAGTATGAGTTCAAACAGTACAAGTGATGAAATTCAGCCTTTTTCAATAATATATCATGTTACAGATACCAAGACATTAGTCAATAGAATATACATTTTAAACAGTTTGAAATGCCAACCAAAACATATTTTAAGAGCTTCAAAACCCTGTGCCTGCCTGTAAGCGCTGCCTACCGAATAATTCAAAGCATGCCCATAAGCAGAGGAATGAATCAATAGTTCAAAGCTTTCTTTTTCAAGGCAATTTTGTGCCTCAGAAAACCTAAATTGTCAGTGCTTTGACTAGAAAACACAAGCATTAAATTACTCATTTTTCAGAAGTGTCGTGTGATAATCGCTGGTACTTGAAGGAAGGAAAATATTGAATGCATGCACAATACAAAAAAAAACAAAACAAAAACACAAAATTATGTGAATCTTCTGACTCCCATTTCAAGAGGAATATATTCAATAGTACAGAAGACTCAGATGGTTTCGCATCACAAAAAAGTCTGTGGAGATCTGGCAATGCTGAAAAATCTCCCAAATCAATTTTACTTTTAGTTTGAAAAAGAAGAGATGATATTTTGTTTGATCTGTGCTCAAATCAAGAACTTGAAAAAAGAAAATGAACACAACAGGTTTAAATCTTTAGTGACTTTGAAAATGTAGTGATTGTTGTCGATTCTGTGCACAAAACAGATGCAGTGGATGGAATGGTCTACTAATTGGCCACACAAGTGCAACTGACAATGGAAGTATTGATCATTCTAAACAATTAAACTAAAATAATGCAATGCAAAATCCATCAGGCTGTGTCCATATGAAGGCTTCCATTGAAGATAGCCTTGAGCCAAATTAAAGCACAGGCACTCTGTTTGTGAGGTGATTATCAGACGTGAACCAGAGGATTCTGACATTATTATATACATATGCCTCCAAGGCCTCCATCAATTCCTTCTTTGCATCATGATCAGAATCAGAGGAGCTTAAAGCCAAGGGCAGGTCTTGTGTTTCATAGCGCACACTTGATTCCAGCCGTAACATCTGCTAAATCTTCAAACTGACACGTTCGGATCAAACAATGATTAAAACTTCAGAAATCAGAGTGAAAGTTGGAAAGTGTGCTACTCTTTGACACTTTACCAGCCAGCAAACTTAAATGAGGCTGATAAACTTGCAGAGAAAATAAAAAGTTAATCACACTGGTGTTAATTCTACTCGTGGCTTTCTTAGAGAGTTTGTCTCAGAGATCTCTGGCAGACATGGAGCTTTCAGGGTTTGAATTTCAATTAGGTTCATGGCACAGATTCAGCTGAACGCAGGCTGCTCATTTTCCACTCGGTAAAGACACATACAACTTTGACTTAAGATCAGAAAAAAACAACAGATGTCAGGGGGAAAACGTGGGTATTTGACAACTTAAGAGTAGAGCATTGTATTTCTCTGAGTGATTAGTTAACTGTTTTTAAAGTTACAATAAACAAGCTAAATGTTTCAGTAAAGTTACAACAATAATAAAGATGTCCAGTGAATTGTATACTGTGTGAAATGTAATATTTAAATTCATGAATCTAATTAGTAATTTAAACTTTTGAGATTTAAGTCTTAGTTGTTGCAGTTATCAAGTGTACTCAAAGCTCTGATCGTTTTTTCTTCTTCAGTTCAGTTGTTTAATTTGAACCCGGCTGTTATAGCGCTCACCTGAGGACATGTGTTCACATTCATGAATGCATTAGAGAAAAGAGCTGGATCAAAGTCTGTCCGTGAAAGCTTCAATGGTGAATTACATCAGTCCATGTGTTAGAACATGAAACAAATTATAAATTGTATAGACATGGATCAATAGTAATAAAAAGCTGTGATCAAGAAAGACACTCTGCTTCTCCAATTTAGTTGCCTGGGTTTCAGAACACATGCTTCCAATAATTACAAAAATGTGAGTCTGTTTGAATCTTCCTGAGATCAGATGGGCATGATTGACAGGTATTGTCATTCAGCGACATACATGGTCAGTCCATATCAAAACACATATGACTTAAAAAAATAATTATTTTGAATTTATTATTTACTATTTATATTGTTGCTTTTTAGTTATTATAATATATTGTGATGTGTGAGCTCCTGGGTGCAAAATTTCCCTAGTGGATCAATACATTTAGTTTAAGTCTAATTTGAGGTGAGAGACAGAAAATTATTTTACTACAAGTCCAGAATGAATCTCTTCTCTAAATACAGAGATACCATTCTGAACTTGCCAGCCAACCAACTAAGGGTCTTTGGCTTTGCAAGGATAGACCTGTCAAGGTAATTACTATATTGACTTAAAGTTCAATTATATATTAGATCAAACTATAATTTTCACTATTTACAGTGGATGCTTTTTATTTGCAAAACTAGGAAATAATTGGTTATTTTTTGTCTATATGATGTGATTTAATTCGTAAAGTTTGAATTAATAACTATGACTGTGACACAAACTAAGTACTAAAATTCATCCTGCTGTTTACTTATTGCAGCTCATGATTTTTAACAATATTGTACATTTAGAAAAGTTTCTGTGGTATAAATCTGCTCTTGGGTTGTTTCAATATTTTAGTTTATCATCTATATTCCTTGTATCACGCTTCAAAATTTGTTATTGTGACAGGCCTATGCAAGGATAATTGGGATGCTGTGACGACGTTGCTGCAGTCATAGAAAGCACCCCTCCTATAGAGATGTAGGAAGAGGTTGAACCACAACTTTCTTACAGGCATGACTATTTAACAACCAACTTCCATCCCAATGAACAACTCACACTGATGTTATGTCTTTAAATCCCAAACGGGAAGCCTTGGAGTAAATTAGAGGTCATGCCAAACCTTAAGACCACAATTGCTGACTTGCGAAATTATAATGTGAAACATGACTCAGATGTTCCTCACAACGTGCAGTTCGCTCGTGTACAAAGTCTAAAAAAACAGACAGAAATGTATGTTTACAGCTTTAAAGGTTGCTTCAGTCAGTGTAAAATCAACACAAACAAAAGCTGCTGATGTGTGGACCTTATTTATTCAAGAGCAAAGAGAGAGAGAGAATCGCCAACGTGTTTTGTAAACGGCAGAGCACTCCACAGACAAAAGGTTTAAGCACCTCACTCATTTACACACTAATGAACTGACCTGTCTCCACCTGGAGCCACAAAAGCCTTAAAGTACAAGTAAAAGAAGTAAAGGAGAAAGGCTCAGAGACAGAAACAGATTATAGCATCTCCAGAACAACAGCTAATAGGGAGGAAGTAGCAGATTGAGAAGAGGACACAACAAGATGGAGAGAGATGAGGAAAGTAAAAGAAAAACAAGAAAAAAATATAAAATATAGAAAAGAAAAACATCAATATGAGTCTTGTATCCAAGCCATCTTTTTGTGTAATGTCTTTACTTTTAAATGAGGCAACTTTGACAATGGATAGTGGAAAAATACAGAAACATAATAAACCAAAAATAATGCTGCTTCCAATGCATAAATTAACATTTCAGAAAATCGTCCCTTCACACTATGGTATTAAGAGAGACACGATTACAAATTGTCTACTTAATTATATGGCATTTTAGGCTTTTTGCTGGTGTTATTATCCAAGTTTAGTCAGCATGAAAAAGACATTCACCAAACCAAAACTCCCTCCAGAGCTTTGGGAAGTGTGCACACTGGTGCATTATGGGAATGTTATTTTGCTCTCAGGTAGCCCATTGCTTGATTTTGAACTGCAGTATATGAATGTAGATAGATCCATATATAGTCTGAAAAATATTTGGTACACAAAGTGAGAACTGTAGAAGCAAACATATGCAGCTGTTTAACAGGTACACAGCACCTCCAAGTGGACAGATCATTCTACTGCACCACAACAAATACAATTTCACATATTAATTTGATTTCCCCCTTTGCCAAGTAATCACATTTTGGGCAAGTTTCACTCATTAGGTCTTGCCTGTCCTAGGTACAGTGTTCAGCTTAACTGAACATTCCATAAATTAATGTGTTAAAGTGTTATGTAAAAACAATTTTGTCAATGTAAAGTCATTCCAGGAAAAACAGGAGTAACTATAAGGCTATAAATTGGAAAAGGAGACTGCATCCAATTACCCTAAGTGGGCTCATTTCCGACGATCAAACAGCTCGCTGTAATCTCTCAAAGGCAGATTCCCTATTGAGCCGATACTCTCACGTCCATAATCATTCACCAGCTTTGCCCATTTAAAGCTATTTTCTGTTTGTCTTTGTCCTTATCTGCTTCTTCTTCCTCTGAGAATTGTAAGATATCTTTGTTTAAATTTAGATGTACTTTTTTCCTACAATAAATGATCAATGAAATATCATAAGATTCTTAAAGTGCATAGTCACATACCAGGTCAGCCTAGAACATAAACCATGCCTCTAAGAACAGTGCATGTGCAAGGCTCCTTAAGACATGGCCTTTATGCCTCTTAAATTATGTGCGAATGCTGTTGATGGATGTCACAAACGAGATAAAATGCTAACAAGTTAAACAGTGCTTCAAACCATATTTGTCACTGTAGCTGACAACAATATGAAAAAAAGAAAAATGTACTGAGAACTGTTTGACTTGACATCACATGATGCACAGCAAGGCCAAATATTTTATTATTTCCAATCCAGGGAAGTCATTTTAAGCTCTTTATAAATTTCAGAGTCAAAAGGCCTTGGTACAAACTCCAAATGAGGTAAGTTTCTGACAATACTGAAGCAGGTGCCACAATTTTTCCCGGGCATCATTCTGCACAGGGACAGAAGACCTTGGCTTGACTGGACAAAAGCTGGCAGGAAAAAAACTCAGGAGACATTTCTTTGTTCTGCTCATTTAATCTCTAATCGTAGAAGGAAGGAGGAATTATTAAAAGTGGATTTGATTAATGGACTATGTCTAAAATGCTGTAATGGAGAGCTATCCAGAGGCCTACACTTGGTAATGGCCTCAAAGTAAGATAAATGACCGAGGTCACCTTCTTGGTGAAAAACACTTTTTGTCTAACAAAGTCATTACAGATAAAAATAGAACAGTGAATATTACTTATGACTTTGATATGATGTCTTCAATTTCCAATAAATACACTTAATGCCAGTAATGTGCAACATGATAGCTCTAAATGTAGGATTCATGATTCTACACTTGTGTTTGTAATTTTATAACGTAATTTTTTGTGAGTAAAGAGTGCTGTGAACGTGAAGCTCATTCAGTGACATATGTAAACGACACTCACTAAGCTGTTGAGGTCTGTGTCCTCGTAGCTGTCTCCAGGATGTGATGCTGAGAGTCCGATTGGCTCCAGCCCCTCCTCGTCCCACATGTAGGTTCCTCCGGAGCTGTTGGATGGGGACAGCTCGAGGGAGGACCCTGCTGGAGCATGGCCAGTTTCAGGAGACAGGACCAGAGAGCCACATGACACATCCATTGGGCTAATATCCTTTGGCCCTGTAAAAAATACATCTATGTCAGCCTCATTTTATTGAAGAAATACAGAAGACATTGATAAGTCAGTTTACCTGCCATATCCGGGTGAGGCCAGTCTGCGGTGTTGTCAAGTAACCTCTGAAGGCGGGTTTGGGTATTGTCAGATTTTTCTGTTGTGTCCACATCACTGAGTACATCACCAGAGCTGTCAAAGTCATCGAGGCACTCTTCACTGGTGTCACCTCTGTCCAAAGACGAGGCCGAGGAAAACGACATATCTTCTAAGGTCTCTGCACAGGCTCCATTCTGGCTTTGGCGACATACACCGTTTTTGTCAAGGGAGCTCCCATCACTGTCACTGTGAAAATCTGACTTCTCAGCTTTTTCTGCTGACTCGGTGTCTGATGTTAATGCTATAAGTGCTCTGCGTTCAGGTGCTAAAGGCTGGAGTTTCTCTTTAGCTCGACCTGGTAATAATGGCTGTTTGACTGGTGAGGGACGGGCCAGCCTCTGCCCCACAGATGCAAAATTACTGTTCAGTGATTTGTTAAGCACACAGTTGGGGAGCAGTGGCTTCTTCAGAGAACTGGGTGTGTTTGGTGCAGATGGAGATGAGAGTGTGGGCAGAGAAGAGGCAGTTTGAGAGTTTCTACTGTAGTGAAGTCCCCCTAAACTAATGCTAAGACCACCAGAACCACTAAGATTTCCATTGAGGCCTCCCATCCCTAAACCGACCCTTCCATTGCTCAGCTGGGGTGGTTTAAGCAGACTGCTTCGTGGGGGTCTTAGCTGAGTGTTGGCTAAAGGCTTGGCCAGCTCTACAGCTCGGTTAAAAGAGAAGGAGCGTGTCATGGGTTGGTTGCTGGGAGAGGGGATCTGCTTAAAGTGAGTGAAGCTGTTGGAGCGCACCATGTTGTCCTGTGGCAGACTCTTGAGGCAGTCAGAGGACTGGGAGAGGCTGTCCTGAGAGCTACTTCGAGGAGAGCTGGAACGCAGTTTGGGCCTCACAGGATTGGACTCTTCCACAACAGGAGTGGACCCACTATGACTCAACTTCAAGCTCCCACTGAGTGGACTTTGGCTTATTTTAGTGTCAGTTTTTGGGCTTGTCTTTGTTGCCTGCTTAGGAATAGACTTGGGACTGGAAACAGCAACCATCAAAGGCCCTGACCTCCGCATTTTGGGCGTCCCGGGAGAAGCCTTTTTGATTTCTTTTGTTGGTGCAGCCATTTGAGTCTTTGGCTTCTCCTCGGATGCCCCATCTGTGGTTGGGCTTGTGGTCTTAATGACTTCATCTTTCTTCCACTTGAATGAAAAAGAAGGTGCACGGATTACACCATTTGGGTGTGTTGTCTTTCCATCCTGAGGGGGTGTGGGCTGTGTCAAACCATTAGGCAAGGCACTAGTGCCTCCATTAGATGAGCGGCCACCAAATTTAGGCAATCTGGATACCATGGCAGATCTGAAGGCTGCTGTTGTTTCCATTAGAGGCCCAGAACGACATGGATGTGCTTGGAGCCACGCAAAACTATAAAAAAAGAAAAGAGAGATAAATTTATTATTTCATTTATCGTTTACATATAAAGATTTATATATTTACATAATGCATACTTCTGCTTTAACCCAGGTAGTTTAATTTATCTGCAGTTATGATGCAAATAAACAAATGCATATTGTATCACCAACAAACAAATGTTATTTATCTGTGAAAATATGAAATGTTTATGATTTTTGGAGACAAGTCATGTGGCTGGATTTCTATTTTGAAGCCTTTACATTCCAGGGTAAACCCATGTGTCTGCACTGACCCAATGCATGCAACGGTGCCACAGAACTGTCTCTATTCTAATCTGCCCCAGGAGGACATGACACACACTGAAACAGGTCAGGCTCTGTAGACACCGCAGCTAAAGCCGTTTGCCCGGGGCAGAGGGTGGGAGCTGGGTGGTGCTCATGTGTTTGATGAGGAACAATTAAATTAAAGAGGTTATGTCCTTGTCAATGGCTCAAGAACCTCCCAAGTTTCATGTGAATCCTGGAAAACTAGACCAGCAGAAAGCACCCACTGCTGTTCTCATATGTAGGTCACTTTACACAGATCTGACCTACTGAGTGACACGTTTTAAGCAGTTCAAAGCATTTTACTTCCTCTGAACTGAAATATCAACACTTTTCAGGTACTCTTCTTTCATTACGCAATAACTTACCTTGTGTAATGAAGAAAGAAATCTGAAAATACTCAAAACACAGCTAAAAGTTTTGAACTCAACTGCCATGTACCAACAAAGCCCTGTGTTTCAAACAACAGCATAGATCATCTGCTGGCAAATACCACAAAAAAAGAGAAAAAAGTAGCATCCAAAACTGAGTGACACACATTCGGAGGTAAGCCAGTAACCCACACCGGCCATCTGTCAAACTCGTATCAGAAAACCTGCCCTTCCCCCACAAGTGGAACTGTAAATAAAAATCCCCCATAGTGCCCTTATAGATGTCCTCAGTATAAAGCTGTACTACAGGAAATATTATGAAAATACAGAGCATCTTTTTCTCTGTCCAATCACAGTGAGAAACGACATGTGCCCAGATCTGAGCAGAGGCATAAAAAAGGACATCTGCGAGGTAAGTGCGTCCATTGGTACTCGGACGCAACTTTCACTTTCTAACCCCACAAATGCAGACATCACAGAGCTCCATTCGGGCAGAGTAGAGGCACAAACACAGATAGGATGTGACAGTCAGGGCAATGATCTATTGGGTCAGTGGAACTATGCATGAATGGAAGTGTTCAGATACGCCCAGCAGATCCCCACTCCTGCTGCTTATCCCTACAGCAGCCTGTCCTGGTTTGACAATAGCTGACCTCCCTGTCGTTACAGAGCCTTGGCAACATTTCCCTTTACCCCAGCATGTCACCCCATCCACTGCTATGACTTACTTGAGGTAGGCAAAACTCAAAATAAGAATAAGGTACTTTTTTTTACTACTTTTTAAAAAAGATATTGTTGTGCTTTGGAAAATAGAATAAGTGAGTGACATCGCTAGACAAAAATGAAAGTGTTACAGTGAACTGAAAAAAAACAAAACAACAACAACACAAACCAAACAACACAATACAATTATCTGGCTCTATTCATGCTAAAATAAATCCCAAATTGTCTACATTACAGAATGATGAACCTCTTGCTTCCCATCTTTGTAAAAGTGTCTTTCAGACTGGAGTTGAAATCAATTATATGGGTCAATAACTATATAACCTCTGTTTGACAAGCAGCGCATCATACAGTTGGCTTAAGTCCAAGACACTTTTTACTTGAGGCTTGAGAAAACATTCTCATGTACCCATAAGAGGGAAAAAGAGTCTAATATGGGTTAGGCTTTCAAGATAATTAATATTAGGGTGGAATAAGGTATAGTTAAGATTAAATTGTGTTCAAGGTAACAATATCCGTCTGTCATAACTAGGCCAATGATATGACCACAGCAGCAGTAGGATGTGGCTCTGTCCCTCAGGAGATTAACAGTAGCATTAGAGGAGGCTAATAGAATGAGACAGGGATGAAAGCAACACTGACACTCTGCTAATGTGTATCGAGTGAAAGCCACACTGGCTTGGGTTGCACTGATGTTAAGTGATGCTAATCCAATAAGGTGGGATATACTCACAGAGCTAGATCAAATGACCAGAAAAACAACAGAAGACCAGCTGAACACTGAAGAAGAATGAAGGTGTGGCTCTCTCATGGTTATGTAACAGGTTTGCCATATTAATTAGAAGCATCTTTATGTTTACATTTTGTACATCATAAAATTAAACTTTACCTTCACAGTCTTTGAGCTAATGCTGATTCGGCCAGTCATTCCCATCCAAAAGGCTAAAGTCCATTATCCAATTATTCACTAAGAGGCTACTGGAGTGTGCCAAGTCATTGTACTGTGTGCTCCTCCGTAACGTGAAGTGAGAGGGGCTGAGCAGTAGCAGAGCAAAGAGAGGGTGATCCGTCTGCTGCCCGGCTCCCTGTACACTCAGGCCGAGTGGGTGGGAGAGCAACCTACATGGGTGTGTTTAATATTTGATACAGAGGATTCAGACAGAAAGGCATAGTGGAGATCAAACCAGGGCATGGATCCTACTAAATTACGCCAAACACATCCAAACTAAATAAATATAAGTATAAAGATATAAATATTTATAAATATTTCAACCTAATGTAGCACTGTGTGGAGGTTCTGCCATCTGTTTATCTCCATAGAAATGTTACTGCTTTGTCTAGAATGTTCCACAGTATAGATAAAACCTATCACAAGGAAGACAAACAGGTTACAGTTCTAGACTACATTACAATTCAGATCTGTGGACAGTCGCCCCTATTCACAGAAGGAATTAATGTATTTTTGAGCAATAGAAACAGCCATAATGAACAAATGCTAGATGGATATGTTTAATGTCATACCATGGACATTCCAGGCAAAGCAATAACATCTCCATGGAGGCATGTATGTAGCGGGCCCTCCACCAGAAAAGTTGCACAGTGCACCTTTAATGCAAGATAAAAGCCAGCTATATAATCCTCCCAAAATGTTCCAAGAATGTCTCATTACACATCATTGCAGGTAGTTCAAATTTGCAAATTATCAACATTCCATAGAACAGACTGACTGACTCAAAACCAAACGTCAAAGAATCTTTTGGCAAAAGAAAGTATGGTATATGTCGAAGAAACCTAATTATCTCTAGAGTCGTGCTGCCCAGGACAGTAATTACTATATCTCTTATGCCCTCTGTACAGCTAACAAATATTCCCCACACAGCCCATGGCCTTCTCCTGAACCAAAACAAAACTGTAAAAAGTTTGACATGCCTTTAAAAATCGTACTTTTCCATTCCAAAAGAAAGCCTGCTGAGTGTCAAGAGGAAGCAGCACAAGTGTTGGAGTCAGCAGAGTAAATAGTTACTAGCACACGGATACATGCAGTCTGAGTCTTATCAGTGATGAGTGTGCTGGACAGGCAGTCAGCAGTACAACAGTTCAATAAACAAGTAAAGAAGAGCATCAGTGTTTTCCTACCTATTTTCAGTAACGCTCATACTGTGAAAAGGTGTAAAGACAAGATGGTGCAAAACTAGCAGATTGATGCATACTGTATTACTCAGCCAGTTATAGCCTTGTTTTAATGTTTTTTTCCCTGTGCAATAAATAGACAATATCCAGCTTCCCTTTCCTTCATTCCATTAATCTTTTAGTAATTCCCCCTTAGCCTCAATATGTGATAATTAGCCTTAGCCCTGGTTCAATTACAAGAGCCTTCAGATCAGTATCACTCAATGTGTAGGCACATGTATCTCAATCTCACATTATGAAAAGGTCAGATAGAACAATTATCTTGGCAAATAAACCTTGCAATGCAAATTTTATAATGGTACAGAGCACTGCAGACTGAACTTTGAAACACATAAATATTCTTACATCTCTCGGTTTCACTTTGCATAAAGTGGAACATGTCAGGTGGGTTTGACAAATGAAGTGTTTGAGAGAAGTAATGCCTATAATATACTGTGCATTTTTCCTTTTTAACGTAATGTAAAAGCAGCCACCCTCATGACTCAAGGCCATATGCTCTGAGACACAAAGGAAAACATTCTCCATTCAGAAAAAATCATAACTCAGACTTAGCAGAATTAAGACTGTCACACGGTGGAGGCTATAGGACGTCACATGACAGCAGGCACGATTATGGATTACAAAGTTTTATGGGCGGTGCCTCATACAGCCTGGTACAGCACAGAATTACAGTACAAACGAAGTACGTGTATGGAATACAGTACAAATGTTAATTACTTGAGACACTGGTACAAGTTCAAACTAAAATTGTACTTCATAATTGGACATGTCAGGAAACAGACAATCCTCATTACCAAACTGTGGACAACTGCAGACCTTGAACAGAACCATGACACGAAAAGCATTGAGACACACCTGCTGTAAGCCCAGCTGTAGACTGCTTATTAGCCCTCATGTGTCAACACTAGATTAATGCCCAACACAAAAGACTCCATCACTTTAGTGAAGTTTATCTGTACAGAAAGAAGTTTATTAAACCAGTTCCCCCAAAAGCAGAGTAGATGTAGATAAACATGATACCTGAGTGTATGTAATATATCTAGATATGTTGCTATTCCCATCTCTCCTGGTGTAACCATGCAAACCAATGCACTGATAAGCATGGCTAAGAATAGCTCAAATGATAGGCCACATACAGAGAGACGGAGGCTATCTATGAGGCAAGGAGGCAAGGAGGATCAGTGAAAGTCAATGCCGTGCCAGATCCTCAAGGTTAACAGTGGCATTTAAATTACATTATGGAAAGTGGTTTGGCTTATTACATTGCCGTTCAATGTAAAAAAAGGAGAAAAAAAAATTGCTTACCGTAAACAAAACTTTCTTACCAAATTTTACTTACCATTTTATCAACATTATTTCTGGCAATTATTTCAGACAAATGGCACTTTAATTGCATCTTCATGATATTTAATATGTCATATCAATTAACATGGAGAAACGTTGGTGGCACTTGCGACCTTAGTTATGTCTAGAATGCACTCATCGGTAGCCATGAAAAGTGTAGTATGTATCCTTCCACATGAGTAGGTACTGAAGAATGCTGACACTGACGGGGCACACAGTCTGCTAAAGTGCATGCGGAGGTGCAGATTGGGGGGTCTTAAGCGTGAAGGCACACCGCAGAGACCCTCAGCTGTTGTTGAAGGGATCAGATAGTAAACACACCCATAGCCAAGGTGACGCGACAGGACCCTTGCCAACAGGTGCCGGAGGAACACACACATAGACTTGTGCTACAGTCTACGAGTTCACAGCCACACCCAAACCATTACAGCAGCCACCATCTCACTTACACGTACTAGTAATCTGTCATGCCTTATCCTAATGGGCACCGCTGTGTTGATCCCACGGCACTGTCTGGCTTCTTGTGTGGACAGCCGAAAATGGCACCAACTCAGACGCACATTTGGTGTCAGAACTAGACTAGACACTTTCGTCATAGTATATAAATGTAGGAGCTGGATGCAAGAGGAAAAAATACAGGTTAAAATTAAACTAAACTATGCTTGGAACAAACCACGAGCTAAATTGAACACTGTGAGATCTTAATTTCCACTTAATCCTTATAGCTGGACAACAAGCTTTACTAAGAAAATTGAGGGATTGTGCATCATGAGTTTATTAAATCCACAATATTGAAAATCATGGTAGGGGGCTGTTATCTAACAAATTGCATTTTCTGATTACGTAAAGCCTTGGTTGAATCATTTATGCCACTTGACGTTATTACTCTAGAGGGGATGTTGTGACGTTACAACATGGCTCCTTCTTCAGCCTCTGGGCAGCAGGAGGCAGAGTGCAATGCAAGCTGGTGTAACAGAGTAGTAGCCTAGTAGGTCGCGTATGGCGTTCGTAGCATCGTAGCAAACACAGGTCGACGTGAAAAATACGTAACTTTACTCTGAATGTGCACGTGTATAATGTAGTACTTATAGACGCAGATAAGCTACAGCTGCTGACATACTTTACTGTCACGGGAAGATTACTGTACCGTGCTTCTTTGTATCTTGTAGTTGAGAGACCAGTTTTACGTTGTCAAAGGCATATTTCTCGACGTTCAAGGTGACGGCAGCGTGACCTAAAGCAAAACACCAAAATACACTAACATTAGACATTTTGTTGCTAACTATTTTGAATGGCATGCACTCGACTCGCGCTTGTATCGGCTTGAGCTACAAGAAATCATTCCCGCCAGTTGTTACGGCAAGTCAGCGGTCGAAAGTAAACTCTAAATACGTTTTACATATATTTCACGGCAGTGTTTCTCATTATGCAAAGCTCCAATGATATATACTTTAAACATGCAGGGACTTCAACGTTAGTTAAGTTCAATAACACGAGCCGCTACTTACTGTGGTCATATAAACATCGTGAAAAGTGATGATGGAAACCTTACCGAAACAACAGCTTGACAGTTTGGCGTTGACAAAAAGCGACTCGGAAGACTAAACCTGAAGTAAACACGTAGAAGTCTCAGCTAACATCTGCCATTTTAGGGTCAAAGCTCTGTACACAACACAAGAAGCAATCACGGTAGCGCCTGACTGGACCGAGCTGCAGATCATTCCAACATCCTCCTCTCCTGTCGGGTCTCAGCGGAGGGGCGGGGCTTGGAAATGTCATCACCTGCTTACTGCGTACTGTAAAGTCCATGGACGGTAGGGCCCATAGAAAGTACGGCCCTAGACTCTATGACCCATAGACTGTACGACCTATAGACAGTCTGTGGTGCGGTGTGATGATGCCATGCAAAAACACAAGAAAGAAAGGTGGCCTAGGTGCTTTGAAAAAAAAAAAAAAAAAAGAAAAAAAAAGTAAAGTAATTCATGGTGTAAGTAGGATAGGAGCTACTTTTAGCTTTTGTGGTTGAATATACCTATTAACATAGCCTATATCTTACCAAAATTTTATTATTATTATTATTATTATTATTATTATAAGAAGAAACAAGAAGTTATTGCCTGGCAAAATCCAGTGCTATCTCTCTTCGTAAACTAGGCTATTGAAGATGTGTGTATTCTGGATACAGGCAATTGTAGCCTTTAGTCTACAAATGGGCACATGCAACGTGCCCTCCACATAAATAATACCCTGTTATCTTATGCCTCATGCCTATTCTGTGTTTAAATGACTGGGCTTAAATGTTGGGATTGGGTTAAGAACATCAAATTAAATTTGCATTATGTAGGCCTACATCTACAATGTATTTCCCATTACAAACAAAAATAGCCCCACCCTTTGAGATGATTTGCCAAAACTGAAAGTCTCATAATTTCTAATAGACGTATATTTGAGTGTTGCGCCCTCTAGTCGTCTCGCTGTGTAAATGCACGTTCATCGTCCAAGCAAGAAATTGATGGGAATGTACTAAAGACGTGTTCTCATGAGAGGCTGACTTATTTTTCTTTTCACAATTTGAACTTAGATAGCCTTGAGATGAACAAGTAGCTTAAAAAAAAAAAGTTTCATTCAGGCAGTGTTATGTTGCACACTTAAAAAAAACAACATTTCGTTAAAAAATGTGTATACTTTTTACTTACTGTTATTCATCACATTAACCACTAGAGTGCAGTCTGCTCCCAATATTTAATTTCAATTAATGACATTGCAAATGTAAACACAGATGAATTATATAGCTTATACTGGCCATGATGTGTATCGGTATAAGGGATAGGCTATAAGATTAAAGGTTCTAAGGAAAGGAATGTTTAAAATTCCTATGTCCCCCTTTGGGCTGTAAATCTTTCTGTGGAGTAGTGCCAGCTTAAATTAAAACCACGTCCACTCTCAAAACCTACCTTTCTCTCTCGCTCTCTCTCTCTCTCTCTCACTTACAGTTATCTCAGTGTCCTATAGTGTGCGCCGACGCAAACAATTCTACTATTTTAATAAGCAGAGAGCAGAGCAACTTTTCAAAACTATTTCAAAATGGATTGAAGACTGCTGAGGGGACTCTCAAACTCTTACAGACACTGCAGAGGAGGAAAAACATCAGAGCGCTGCTAGAATGGAGATAAAGAAAGAGAATATTCAAAATTCAAGGCAGACAGGGTAAGATGTGGCTTTGTTCATGCTCTTGTTGTGAGAGGGAGAATGACTTGTTAGACAGTAATCACTTCCTCCAGTGAAAGCTAAATGTCCTTTCAATGTAACTCTACTCCCCATTTCCTCTGTGATTGAAAATAATTGTGTTTTTGAGACGGAGGGAGATTCACTGTTTCCTGCTACAACATCAGACTCACTGCCAGTCAGTAAAGAGAATCAGCAAGGGAGACATTGATTTATTATTGATCAAAATAATAGTCATTCATTTAGTTTGCATTCACTATAATCCATGTTATTATTTCTTGCAGCTCTACGGACATTTCATCCAGAGGCCTGAGTTTAACCTTTGTATTTCTTCTGTTATTTACAGGCACAGTTGTGGTAAGTTATATCCATTATTAATGTAGTTATACTTTGTTGTGAATTATATGGGAATATGTTGTTTGTGTAAATGGTATTAGGTAAAGGGGTTATATAGTACGTACACTCATATGGAAATGTTTCAAGGCAGATGTTTCCCTGGCGTTGACTACAAAGATTCTGAATATAAGTCTTGGATTATGGTGCATACCACTGGATTTTTTTCCACAGTAAATGCTTCAATAACCAATTCACTGGGGTAAACTTAAACACTATAGTGCAGGTTTACGGCTTTTGTCTTCCTCCAACTATGTCCCCTTGAGAACAGGTTGACCACATATGGGACAATATTTTTTCTTGATAGGGAAAGATCAAAGGAAAAGTTCACAGTGAGGGTTGTGACATGAGGAACATGATCAGACCTTGTTAAACTGTGACATGTCTGGAGCAGGGAGGAAGAGGCCAGCGCAGACAGAGACAAGCAGAAGAGACCCTAAGACCTTATATTGGCAGAGTACAGCCAGGTAAGACATTCTCTATTAGGTACAGGGCACCTTCTGTTCACCAGCATAGTCTAGTTCATTTTTTTCACAGGAAAGCTGGAAAATGTGGTGGTCAGTCATAAACAGACAGACACTGGTAGTGATCTATTACACAATGTAATTTATAGAATGCAATAGATGTTGCACAATGTGTATCTTGTGCCTCTCTCAAGATTGGGCAATTAAAATTGTTAATTCTTTAGTATATAATATAATGTATAATAATATATAATAATATATATTGGTATATGGTATATAATATTATAATTGCCCGGTTAAGTTCATTTAGTTTTAGGCATACATTTCAGAAAATGATCAATTTATGAATGTATAATTTTTTAGAAAAGCTTTGTGAGCTTCTTAAATGCCACACTCCAGTGGGGTCTTGGTGCCAGGTGGTAAAAGACAAAGGTGTCCTTGTGCCAAAATGCATTTGCCCAAAGACCTGTTCAAGGTAAGAAATATTATATACTTTTTTGGTTGGTTTTTTTGTCTGTGTAATGTATAATGATCAGTGTGCTCTTACTCTTGTTTAAAGGCAGAGGGCGCAAGTGTGCAGCGTTGTGGGCAAGACGTACTGGAACAAGTGTTTATTGCATAAAGAATCTTGTAGAAAGAGGCGGCGCACGGGACTGGCTCACGCAGGACCCTGCATGGGTACAGACGTGAAACACATATTACACATTATTTCCACTCTGCACTAGTGAGTAATGCTGTCCCTCTTGACCAAGTTCCCAGGGCTAATTGCACCCAGGAGGAGTTAGGCCAGTTTCCATACCGCCTTCTGGACTGGTTTCTGCTGCTGAGCCGAATGGGAGAGTCCTACGCACCTGACGCACCAACACAGAGCTGTCTCAGTCACGCGCAGAGGATACAGCTCGCACAGGTGTGGGCAAATGTGACGGCCTATTCATTGTTACAAAGTAAAAGAAGATTCAAGAACTCTCTGAAAACTTTAAGAAAGACAAAATACAGGCACAACTAAAATATGCACATCAGACAATAAACCTGAAACTATAGATCAAAGTAATGCAAATAAAATCAATAACCATCACAGAACTGCCAGAGAAGAATACACCAAGGGATCATTCGGCCTGTGTGTAATTTAATGCTCGTCATAAAGTTGTTTGGGGCACTGAACCACATAATGGCACTTGTATACCAACTGTGCCATTGTTCAAGAAATCAATGTTAACATGCTGCACAAATGGCAAGTTCTTATGTTGCCTGTGGGGTGGTCATCCAGAGACCAGGACGATGGCTTTCAAGAACAGCTTGTATAAATAGGTTTTGGTCAATATGCACTAAATTATTCAATGAGAGGCTGAATAAAGAAGTAACTTAATATGGTCCATTGAGTCACCCCTACCCCACAATCTACAATAATGATAATATTGAACCATAAAGATGATGTCACACATGCTGATGTACATATCATCTAAGATACATGCTTTGAGACATCCTTTACACAACTACTAAACTGTGTTAGTAGTTGTAAAAGTGCAAAAAGTTAGAACATGACAAATCTAAGATGGCTAACCAGTTTTGAGTGAGATTGTGCCTATTCTTCTGTAGTTACTTAGTTATTTCAAACCTGCATATACAAGTCACATAACAACATAACAATACAAATGCAGCTAAAACCATACATGGTTTGAAAAGGGGATGGATGAAGCAATGCTTTTACAATTCCAGTCCCCTCCTTCGACTACATTCTGACTTTCTCATTCTGTTTTCCTACTCTGCTCTGTCAATAGAGCCTCATGGCTTTGTGTTTTACCTTGTTCATTTGCATTACTCCAATCACAGTAATTTAGTAGTAAGTATAAAGAAAGTAATTAGGTTCCCTTATTGCAATGATATGCACGAATCTCAAAAGTTGTCATCTTATCATAGTAGTACATTCATTTTCCTTGTCCCATTAGATTTTCAAGAAAATTCTCTCGGTGTCCTTGTATGTCATGTATCTGATGTATTTCCGTTCTCTTTTCTTAGCAAAGATTTGCCTTACTGGATCGGAACGCAGATGGAAAGTTGAGCCGCAGAGACCTGAAGAAGCTGCATTATAAAAGGATGCCTCTGGAGCACTGCGCTACATCATTTTTTCAGTCAGTCCCTCTGATGTTACCCACAACAACCTTTGGGGTTTCTACATATTTTTTCTGAAGTTGTATAGATTTAAAATTAGCTTCTGCAAATTAGCAATATCAAACATAGAGCATCGTCTGCAATATGCTTCGTTTCTGGATAATTACTGATACATCAAGGGTTAAAAATGTCACAAAGCGCCTCCGCTCTGTGACTAAGTTGCACCTCCCACCATGCTGTTCCCTCTGCATGCCATCTATCCATTCATCCCTCGTGCCAATACCCATTTCCTGTTCTCCTCCTCTCCAAGCGAATGACCACCTCTCCATCACCATCTCCGTAATGCTCCCCACTTTACTGCAAACTAATCCAACTCTTTCTTGTTGTTTTTTTCATGATTAAGTGATGTCTCATCTACAAATCCCCACAGATCTGTGCCAGCTTGCATTGATAGGTTTAGTAAGAGTAAATCTGGCTGTGTCAATGTCAAGCTATTCCCAGCAATGATAATGTTTATAACCCACTGTGCCTCCCGCTGCTGTGGATTAACACAGATTGAAGGAGTATCCTTCAGAGATTGTAGCGCAGGTAAAGTCAAAGACAATGACTGTGCATGACTATTAGTTTTTCTATACTTAGACACATGCAGATATGAATTGGCTATTGTAAAACAGGTAGTTTGTTAAATAATAGACTGCCATATGTTGTTGCAGATCATGTGACAGAGACAGGAACAGGAAGGTGACCCTGAGAGAATGGACCATTTGCCTGGTGGATAACTCTGAAGCCTGGTTCTACCACTTTATGTGTACGTCCCATGTCAATACATGCAGTATAGTACAGTAAATACTATGTAGAGAAAGTACAAGATACAGCAAAGTACACTGAGCATTGAATTATAGTGTAGAATGTGTTTCATTAGTGCTAGATGTAATTTATGGCCTTCACAGTTTGAACCAAACTCTACTAACTGAATAAATCATTATAGAGTCCCAAAAGTTTTGAAATCAGATAAATTATTAAAAGTGTACCATATTTTGATAGTAACTGAGATCTCTGCAGAAGAACAGAACCCCACATGTCATAAAGTACAGGGGAGATGCACATTCATTCAGTGTGATTAATGACGTGAATATTTCTCCTCTGCTCTCTTCACAGCTATCAAAATGGGTTCTCACAAGTTGTGTCCTACACGCATTGATGATGACCTTTAATGCATTTTATATTTTCTATCCACCATCAAATCTTTAACAGGAAGACTGTTCCAGGTTGTACAAATGAAATATTAAGATAAGAACATTGCATGTCTTAAGTAACCATTTGAGCGAGGTAGACTATAGTGCTGGCAAAGAATAATGTGATTCAGAGGGAATTATAAAGTGGATGGGTAATAAAGATAAGGAATATAAGACAATGCTTGGGGTGCAAAGAGAGAAGACGTAATACAGACATAATAACAGAGAGCAGATAGGAAAGCTGAAGTACAAAGTTAGTTTGAGAATAGTGACAGAACATGGTGCACTTTAAATGTGAATTGAGCGTAATAAAAAATGGATAAGAAATGAAGCATAGACAGAGCAGACAGAGAAAGGATGAATGCTAAAAAAGAACGAGGCAGGATGATTTTGACACTGTTTTGAAACCGTTACTTCTGTAAAAAGCATCTAGCAGCATGATACAGTTGATAGCATTTGAAACATTTGACCTTTATCAAGGTCAAAACGCTTGCATGATGCAAGCTTAATGACTTTTTGTCTGTATGAACCATTCATAATGCATGCTGCTCTCAGAACTCTTCTTGCGTCTTGTTTATTTGCTTGGGGAAAGTCCACAAGAGACTAGCAATGTATGCTTTGAGCTGGTGCTGAAAGATCAATAGGAAGATGTGTGGCCTGGGGTGGCTTCTTTGGTATGACGGGATTCTCTGGACTAATTAGTCTTCAAATTTACCCCGCCTGAAGTAAGAGGAGGGTCAGATAAAGGGGCATTAAAAAATGGATGAAGAAAAGAGACACCCACATTCAGTGTAAGATTATGCATTAGATACTAGTGTTATAAGCACCCATAAACAATTGAGAAACTCTAAAAGAGTTTATGTGAAAAAATTGTAGAAATGCAGAGTCAACATAAGCAGAAGAGCAAGATTGTGATGTTTTTCTATAGTGTTTACTCCTAAACAACCACTAACATTAAACATCTCCTCAATCTCAATCTCTCTTTTCTAGAGACTGTTCAAATAGAAATAACATGTGTAGCCAAGGCCACCCTTGAAGGTCCAAAGCCTAGAGCTTCTCAGCTTTGTGTCTTCTCCCCCTTCCCTCTTATTACTCCACTCCTTCCATCCCCCATACAAACAAACACAGTTGTAGATTGATCCACCTAATCCCGCTTCCTGTCACATACAGCTCTCCACACTGCAGACCTACTGTCCCCTCATGCCACTTGCTATTTGGGTATTACTAGAACCAGTCCTCCATTTTCTGTGTGCTGATCTCATCTCTGATAGTACTCTCACACTTCCACTCTCCCAAGGGATTCTGGGAGCCCAGGAGCAGATGGACGCATAGTGATGACACATTGTTAAAATAAACATTCTAGTTAACCCGTTGACAGCTATCACGCCCTTCTCCTCGTCCCCTGTCCTCTTGCATTACTTCCAATTACACTCTAGTCATTCTGGTTCAATCTATCTTCCACAGCTATGTCCGCGTGGGCTTTTACACAATGTAGAAATCGAGAAATTGTGGCCCTGAAAGCGTGGAGTCAGGGACCTCAGACCCTCAAACATGATATTTAATACATGGCTGTCATAAAGACAAGCCAATGAATTATGCATGACTCATAAGCAGACATCAATAATAGATGAAAAGACTAGTTATGCAGTTTCTTTTCATGCAATTATGACAAATGAAGTGTTTTCATCTGTGTGGATGGACGGCTAAATGTAGCTGGGCAGACGATTATATGGGTACATTATTAAAGGCTACGTGCAAGAGGGTGCTGTCACATCAAAAGAAATATTCAGGCCACTCATGATGGAAGTGGAAAAGAGGATGGAGAGATGTGTGTTTGTCACCCAAGCGTATGCATTGATTCCAGGTCTGGCAGATGTCACACAGATGTCCACTGCAAACTGGCTACTGCTCATAGAAAGACTCAGTGTCTTTGAAAAGTTGCAAGTTGACAGCTCCTACTGTTAGTTGTACATGCATTAGTAATCTGTGTAAGGTTAATCACCATCCATCTTCAAAAGCAACCGGCGTATCGCACACTGCCAGATTGCAGAATTTCAGAACTTCTTAGGAACTGTAAAGTGGGCCAGCGAATTGAGAGAGGAGAACTGGTCGCTTTGAAAAGATAGAAGGGTGCTTGATGAAAAAGAAGATGGCCACTAAAGTGATACATTTATTAATAGCTATCAGGCATCAGATTGCTTGTCTATAAAATTATGTTGAAGGCAGAGAGAAAATACTGAAGAGGACTCATTTTAGTATGCGGATAGACAATATTCCCAGTGGGAGGAGTAGATCCCATTCAGGGGCACCTCAATAGCCCTAGTCTGAAGTACCTGGTGAATGAGTGGGGAAAGGCCCCACGGCAGAATGGACAGGTGGAGTTAGCATACAATAAAGCAGCCCCCTTTGGCAGGTTTCCTCTCACTAATGATATTGATTAAAAGGTGGAGGAAGGAGAGCTCCATCCATGAGGCCCTCCATTGTGTGGAGATGAGTGGGTGGGGCTTAGAAGTCCAGAATATGAAAGTCCCTCGAGTCCTTCAAGATCTGTACTTGACCTTTGAGAGGTGCACATAAAGCCGTTAATACAAGTGTCGTGTGAGGAGCAGCCGTGAATGACAGCCTTGGATCAGTTATTGCCACTTCATCACATTGTCTCCAGCCAACGTCATTCAGTCAGGGCTAGAGGTTTACAATTAGTCCTGATGCAAGATCTGAGAGAGAAATAAAATAAAAATTTAACACACAAGCAAACAACAACAAATTATTCTGGCTGTTGCACTTTTTATCAGAGGTCATTTCGGCTCAATAACATAACTTTAATGCTTAAGTCAGTATGTGATAAGCGTATAATAATAGAACAATTCAGTGTCCTAATTTTACAGTTTTTCGTATCGTAACGTTTTTGATGCATGTGCAATGGGACCATACTAGATAAAAAATGTATATAATGGTGAAGTACAGATATCTTGTACATTAATAAAATATACAAAACATACTTTAGCACAAACTGCTGTGTACATCTATTTTTTATCAGAGCAAGCAAGTACTCCCAATATTAACATAAATCAATTCATTATTTGAAAGCCCATTGCTCTATTTGAACATTTCGAGCTGTGACTGAACAAGAGATAAGCTCCCAAAGACGATGTAACCTCCAAAACGCTGCCTGCTGCTTGTGTTAATGCAGATGTTATCAGACCGGCCCGCAGAATGGTTAATGCGTTTAACTTTTACACCGCCTCCCTTCTCCCCTTGAACGCTCTCCTCACCGCCACCCCCAGTCGGTGACCTCACTGGCAGCCCACTCACTGCCTCTCTCTCAGATAGCACATACAGATACACAATCACACATGAGCCTATTTGAATTGCAAGTGAGCTCCCCATCACTAGCGGCAAAGGTAAACAGAAGAAAAAACTGCTTGGGAAACTCTTTAACCGGACCAGTTTGAGTGTGAATGAGAAAGGGGCAATCTAGAAAAAGGACAACCACAGTATAGGATCACCTGGGACACCTTTTTGAAAACTACTGGGAGCTATAGAGAGCACCCATGGGAGCGAGCCAAGCGGCCGTCAACAACCTGCTGTCGCTCCTCCTCCTCCTTCATCCATCCTTCTCACTACGTCTCTCAATCTGATCCTATCCCACACTCCAAGCTTCAGCGCCGAAGAGGGGACAGCCTGCGCACAGACGAAAAGAGGTTAGTAAAGAGCGCAAATGTTGTCCTTGTGAAGTGTGAGAGAGAGTGTGTCTGTGTGCGTGTGTCTCGAATTTCCACCGGAGCAGGAAGTCAGCAAGTTGTTTCTTTTGTGCATGTGTGGTCTATGGGTAAAGAGATTAAAGGAGATGCAGTGCACTTTTCATTAGTTGCTTAGTTTAATATCTGCCTGTTGTAAGTTAAGTTTCTCGTATGTGTAAAAAGTCAGTTTGAGTTTGCAAAGACCAAGGACAAAGACCCAAGACGTATTTGGCTATTTGCATGTGCAATGTGATGTACAAAATCAGCCGTAAAATCCTATCAGGTTGCTATTCGTCTCATGCGTTTGGACAACCCCCCTTCCCCTTACGTCCCAACCACCACCAGGGAACCACAGGCCACTTCTTTCGCCTGTAGTAGTTTCAAGGGGACAACGGATCCTGCCGGGACCACCCCATGCCATTTAATCTGTCCCTTGCCCGCAGATAACAGAAGGCAGATGGTCCCAACAGAGGGAGTTAGAAAGGATAGCTTATAGAATGCATAGGAAAAAAACCAACATTAAACTTAACCTGTTTTATCTGAGATAAGGGGACAAAAATATTGTAGTTCAAATAAGCTGTAAACACAAACAAAAAAGCTATACAGAAAATGATTCCAAAGGAAAACAAAATCAAGAGAAACATATGTGCTTTCACTTCTTTGCTCAGGTCACGAAACAGCCAGACACATGCATATTGTAAATTCGATTTTCACATAAAAAAGGCAATATGTAGCTAATAATATGGCCAGCAAGTGCATGCATGAGTAATTGCAGTATGCGTACTCTGTAATATGGAGTGAATGGAAAAAGGCACTAAGCGGGACCATCAAAGTCCTGGGCTGCTGCGTTTAAAGAGACTGTGTATTTATTTATAGAGGGCGGTAGTTAAGTTCACCAAAGCTGCGCGCTTTCTCTCTCCTCTCTGCAAGACCCAGCCGCCTTATGAAAATTCAATTGGCCATAATTTGCCGGGGAGCCATATGCATATTTTATCGGTGGGTAGGATTTGTAGAAACAAGCCATGCCAAGCCTTTTCGTGTGACTCGTCTTCTATAACTAGACTCAATGAGGGGGTGTGTTGCGAGTTAAAATGTCACACATCTCACACACGCACAAAACCAATCACGTGCAGAGCTAGAACTGTGAATATTAAAGCAGCCATATTGCAACACACAGTAATATTTGCAAGTTTTATTTTTTAATATCTTTCCCTCTAATTATTCCAACATTTTCCACTTCTTTCGATTTCATACTCCCTCAGTTTCTAGGCTTTATGTGTTGCTCTCTTGCCTTGCTTCTCAGTGCACGGATAATGAGAAGGCGCCTACTGCCTGACTTTGTAGCTTTGCCACAGTTTGAGAGTTTGCATGTGGGAGCGTCCTGGGGCCCAAAAAGGCTCAGATGTGCCTTCTTGCCGTTACCGCCTCCGTGGTTCTGCTGTGATTGTCATCTGATCTATAGGGCACCGTACCGACATGATACACCTTGTTAGAGGGAAAGGGGGGTAGGATGACTGTGACTTTGAACAAATGTGTTTCTCTCTGGGGACAGAGCAGGGGAGTAATCATTCAAAGGGGCATATGCTGCCACTCACACAGGCACCATCAAAATATTATACCCATTGTATTTATAACTAGAGATAGTTAGGAATACACACAGCAAATTTTTCATGTAAAAAGAGACTGATAATGGGGCAAAACATGATAATGAGTTGCATTGCATAATGCAGATATTTTTTTCATAGCATTTGATCTGGTGGGGACAATGGATGATAATGTGCATGACATGTAGGCTAACATGCCATTAAACATCCAATATCAGTTTTGCTGGATTGTATGAACAACTGAAAAAAGATTTTAGCTGGTTCAAAAGAAATCAGGACTAGCCCTAATCATCAAAGCAATAACACAGGTTTGACTCCCAGGTTGGATCAGGTCTTTCAGTTTAGGATTTGCATATTTTTCTCTGTGTCTGGGTGGACTTTCTCTGGGCATTCTGGTTTCTCCCATCAACCTAAAACATGCACAATAGGTATAAAGGTGCAGCTCACCACTTGGGTCCCCAAGTGCTATACAGCAGCAGCTCACTGCTCCTGACAGGTTGCTCCAGGGGCAGTGAAAAATGGGTCAAATGCAGGGAATGAATTCTTATAATTAAGTGTACTTTAATCTTATTGCTGAGGTGCGAGTTGAGTGAGTCATTTGCTGGCAACTACGTACTAGTTCTTACTCTGAAAGCTTAAAAAATACATTCTTTGTGAAATGATGTCTACTAGAGGTCACAAACTAGAGTAGTTTTTGTCCTGTATCCAAATATAGATAAAGATAGAATTGTGCATAGAAGGGCAAATGGTGTAAATGGCAAAACTATTGTATGTTACCACAGCCTGTAAGGACAAAGATGATTTACTGTGAACTGTTAAGATACAATAAATGTATTCTATTTATCCTACCACCTCAACAGTGTCTAAATAAAACAAATAAAAAGCATGGACAGTGTAAAAATGTAATAAATGTGTCAGATATTACGAGAGTGGCAGCTGTCAACATCTGTTCCCTGTGATTGGCTCTGACTCTAGCAGCCCCCTCCAGGTGTTGTTTGTGTACCTCACAGCAGCTTCACATCACTTTCACCTAATAAAATGGCTGCTAACGATGCCCATGATAACAGATATCTAATTGAACTCCCCTCACTAAAAATAGCAACATAGATGTAAAGGCAGCGACTTCACAGTGATATTAGCGGCCCACTTCACACTTCAAAATTGTGTCTTTTTCATGGAATGTCAACTTGTACAGCACATATTTCTGAGTAATATATCCTGCCAAGTTGTTTCTCTTGTATGAATAATAATAACAAATCTCAAACGGCTTAAAAGTTTTTCCAATGAATCATTATTTGTCTTTTTTTTTTTGAGTCATTGATAAATGTTCAGTCAATATTAAACATTTTCTCTTTTGTGTTCAGATCAACAATCAAAGCCGGAACAGCAGAATGCTACCTCTTTCATTGTCCTGGGGATTTGGAGCAGTCGTGGTGTTGTGCTGGAGTTCTGTGTGGCCTCAAGTCCGATCAGCGCTTTCACCCGAGAATGAGGTGCCCCTTCGACCCACAACATGGCTGCCAGAGGGGAAGATCACCCATGTAAAGCTGCCCAAAGGGAGGACTGTTAGGTGAGAATAAGTAAATCATGATCAATATTATGTACTATGGTATTCTTAAAACAAAAATAGCTGCTTTCTGATATTTGTCTGGGGAAACTCCAGATGACTCCATACAACATAGCTACACTATATACACCAGGGGTGTCAAACTCATTTTGGTCTGGGGGCCGTATTCAACCTACTTTGATCCCAAAGGGGCCGGATCAGAAAACTCATGGCATATAAACCCCAAAAATAACAATAAATTCAAATATTTGTGCAGAGAAACACAAATCTATTACAGAAATCTTTTTTTAATTGATTAACTCTTTCTTATTATATTATAATATTATGGAACAACCTGAAACTTTAAGAAAAATTCAATTTCAACATTTAAAATATTTTAGTATAAAAATCACCCAAGGGCCACATTAAAGGTCTTGGAGGGCCGGATCTGGCCCTCGGGCCTTATGTTTGACACCTGTGATATACACAGTCTATGATTGAAACTTACTCATATTAGGTCAAAGTGCAATGTAGTATGTCTATGTTGAACATGTAAAATAGTACAATAAAAAAAAAGTTAACTGGCAACACTATAGTGAACTGAATTCCTGGAGCTTTTCTCACACACAATGACAATCGGCATGTGCGCTCAGGGCTCCAGAGGGCGACCGGTGTGAGCGCACGAAGCACATGCACCAAAAAGTTTGGCCATTGCAACAAAAAATTTTCTTTGGGAGCACTTGACAGATTGTTACCACATCCCCTCTCATGTCTCATCTCCAACCAGATATCATTTGAATTATTCAGAACACATTAAAAAACTGAATATCATTTAGTTAATTTTAAGTGTGTAATATAGAATATGAATTGTAAATCCAGGTAAAAGTAACAAACCAAGTTATTTATTTACAACAGAAAGATTATTATAGCCCTCCTTGTTGAAGCAATTTAAGGACAATATGCTACAATGGCTTAAGCGGTGGACTTCGGTGGATCTAAATCATGTTCTGGTGTATCCAGATGAAAATCGTCTGGAGCCCTGATGCAGTAAATTACTAGTGCATGTCAAAGTTGATATTATTCATTTTACATTTACTATCAATTAATTTCTCATTTTAAAATGATTGTGATTTGTAAAAAAATGCCCATCTTGTCCCATACATTTCTGTCAGCATCCCAACTATAGGATCCAATACAAATTTGCATCAGCAGTTGGACAAAATTCAACTGGTACTAAACTAGGCCTCGGCAGACCAAGTCAAGTTAAAAGCATTGGTTAAGAATATTTATACTTGGTTTAGTCAGCATTGCATTAAGAGTGAGAGCCATGCCAAAAAAAAGTCACACTTTCAACTTAATAGCGATTCATGTCAAGTTAGTATGCTTATATAGTCTTGAAGTGGTAACTAAAGTTGTCTGCTTCTTTTAAAAGTTTATTCTTCATTGTAATTGGTTAAATCCACCTGTCACTCACTCAGACCATTGCTGAGGCTAACCAATAGGAACAGCAGGTGGGAAGAAGCGTCTTTGTTTGAGCATACAAATTAGAGACGGATATATTTTCTTTCATGACTGATAATGATTGTTTAGCATCCAGAGAAACCGATGGTGAATAAGCTCTGACGTAATTTTTAGGACGATATGTATTGGGCCCATTTTCACTTTCTCCCCCAAATAATGTAATTTAAATTTACAAAAAATTCATTCACAGCACTTTTTTACCACAAAACCCTAAGAGAGCAGTGTAGTCATATTTTCAGAAGTGATCTCTTTGCATTTAAATGTTCAAATAAAGCTTTATGGGTATGTTTAGGCCGCAGGTCACCCAAAACTAAATATTTGCCTGTGCTGGAAATTTAAGGTCAATAGCTGATACGCTAAAAAGTCCAAATATCTATCTCTATTACCAGTATAGTATAGTCATTGACACTGTCATAAGAGATTGATTGCTGAGCCCTATGTTACACTGCACAATAGATTTAACATCGTTATAACAATGATTAAATTATTTTCTTTAAAAGCCACTCTAAGTGATCCTAGTGGTTTTATTTAGCTTTTTGTTCGTAAATAAATTCTTATTCCTAATATGGAACTGATTCCAAATTTGACTGTGAGCTTCATTTGATTGGAGCACTATGGGTGACGTAACACTCTTTTAGTCCACTCCTTTATACAGTCCATACTCTATATGCCCTATCCATCCAGCACCACTGTAGAGCAGACATAAGGTAGCCCATTTGGCCCTAGCCCTATAGCCCCATGCCAAAAACCTCTAATATGGGGGAGCTGAAAATTGCAACATGTATCTCCCTGTGTGCAGCAGTCTGTGCAGCAGTCTGTGCAGCAGTCTGTCCACCAGTCCAGAACTGCAAAACAAATAATGTTTTTTTTCTTTAATTAATCACTCTATTTAATAAGACTCACTGCGCCCTTGAGAATGACAGTGTCGCACATCTGTTGGGAACAACCACCATCTGCACAATATTATGAATAATGGTATTTGCAAGAAGGGAGAACAAATATTTACTATCAAATAACCACACGCCTGCTTAATTTTCACTAAAAGTAACTTGAAGTGAATGAATGGCATATTAAACAAGGCTAAATCGAGACTTAGGGGACAGCATATTTCTTTCTGACAGTGTGGTTTGTATAATGCATAATGTGAATGACAAATGCCCTTGAGTTGTCATTGAACTACAATCTGATATGCAAATCATCTGCATTTACAGCCACACACAACATCACTCTTTCTATTCTGAGCACGATTCCAGATAGTACCAGTAAAAAACACAGATATCCATGAAGAAATGTCAGAGCAGTCATATCACGATGCACACAACAAGGGTCACCTTTTCTGATCTGCTTTCAAATAGTTGATAATTAGCATGAATGTAAAATTAGTATAAAGTGATTTTGATTATTATTTTATATTTTTATATTTTTTGCAGGCTGTACTTCATCCTAAAGAAGAAGACACCAGGAATGTCAGTGACCGTCAGCCCCTGTAATTTGCCGATTGAGTGGAGTTTAGCAGCACGGACTTTGAAGGATAACCCACTCAAGAGTTTGCAGTGTGAGTAGACAGTTAGCATACAATGGCCATATACATTTTAATATTTTGAGAAGAATAAATGAAATCTAAAATGTTAATAAGTTGAATAAATTTATAAAATTTAAAGATACCAAGTGAGTAGGCCTAACTTTGTAACACAGTAGTGATTACAATAAGGTAATTAATATAATGCGATGTTCGAGTTACCGTGTCCAAGTAATTTCCCTTGTGGATCAATAAAGCTTGTTTAATTGAAATGTTTAAGCTGTTCTGTAAGAATATTATAGATTTTGGCCATATACATTTTAATATTAAATAATAAAACAAAATTTAAAGATGCCAAGTGAGAAGGCCTAACTTTGTAACATAGTAATGATTACAATAAGGAAGATGAAATGTTTAACATGTCTTTAACGTACAGATTTAACTGTTAAAATGAATAAGAAACAAACTTCCCCAATAAAACTTTTAGAAACAATGAGTATAGTTTTATGAGTGAAAAGAGAGGGACTTACTCGATTGAGCATGTAAGAAACTGTGCTAATATTTTAATTTAATAAAGTGGACCTCTTCACTGAATATAATATTTAAGTATAAAAGTAAATCAAAACTGGCTGCAGTTTGCTAATCCAATATAACCAATTTAGACAGAAGAATATGACTTTTACATTAACACAGTGTTCTTTCAAAAATTACTCTAGGGCCTGTGGCTTTTGAATAAACTTAATTATTCACTTTGCCTCTCTCTACCGTTAATGTTCTCCTCAAATTGATTCAAACTGAGTTAAACATTACACCTCAGTGAGAATTTCTGAGATCAGTCTGTCAGAAAATGAGGTCAAGCTCATAATATTCTTGGTTATGGGTTTACTTAATAATAGAGTGTAATAAAGTTAACTACAAATTAATAGGAGAAAATATCCTCATATTACACTATTTTCTGATCTACAGGAAGTGCTCCATTGTGTTTTTAAACTCTATACAACTTCATTACAATAATTTTCCATCTCTACTAAAAAAAGGGTAAAAAGTAGCTTTTAACTGAAAAACTACCACTTCATGACATCACAAAGAGAGTATTTTGAGCTCTGGAGACAAGATAGAAAGGGTGACTCAAACATGTGAAACGAAACATAACTACAGTATGTTTTTGGTGAAGTAACAGCATTATAACATGGTGTGAAGCTCATAAGAGTCAGTTTTGCATAATATATAAGAAAAATGTTAACGTGATTACTTTTTGAGTAAGCCAGAACTCAGAACAAGATAAAAACTAAAGCAAATATTGCCTTTCTGCTGGCAATATTTAAAGATCATTTTCATCATTGTTGGTGCTTTATTTAGTTACAGCTTTAGGTGAATAACTGGACTAAACTTAAATGAATTCACATCTTTATATTTTCTGTATTTTCTTGTCCTCACAGGGAGCACAAAGAAGAGCACGCCAGAGGTTTGGTGGCGAGGTCCAGGCACTGAGGAGAAAATCCACAGCTTCTCTGGAAACTCCGTGGACACTTATACAGGCCATAATTCCCCTCACGCCTCCATCTACATCGTGAGACTGCGCTCCAAACAGCAGAGCTCCAAAGCCACAGTGTACCTCCATGATGGCGTGGGACCCTCTGGAGCATTCCCACTGCTCCCAAAGGACACCCATGTTCATACCCTAGGAGTTGGGATGACCAGTGTCACACTGAATTGGTCGCCAAGTCCTTCCCTGACCACAAAGAAAGGTTACGAGTACTGTGTTTTGGTCAACTCCAAAAGCAATTACCCCAGTGTATGTGCGGCGCAAGAGAGCATCCGGAGAAAAGTAGAGGATATCCAAAATAGGAATGAGAAGAAAAGAAGGATGACGCCATGGCCAATATTAAAGGAGTGGTGGTGGGAGCAGTGGGACAGCTATCCAGACCCCCAAAACACTGATGAAGCAGAAGAGTTGCAGTGTGTATGTAAAGGTGCAGAGAATGTGTGCACTGTGTCTGAGCTCTTACCTGACACTCAATATTACTTTGATGTTTTTGTGATGGACAAGTTGAATGAAACCAGTGTGGCATACACAGGGACATATGCGCGAACCCATGAAGAGGCACGTCCAGATATTATCACTCTAAGAGAAGGAGAACTCCGATGGGTCAACTTTCCAGAAAGGAGCTTCAACTCCGAGCAGTTCTTCAGTTTCCGTCCACGGGGCTGGCAGCAGAGTGGTCTCCTCACACTGCAGAGCTGTGGGAAAGATGATAAAGTCAAGGTCACTGTGTCCAGTAAAGGTCAAGTGTTGGAGAGTCAGAAAGTGGGGGGAGATTTGGTGCAGATTTGGCTCCAGGGAAGCCCGTCTTATTTGATACACTTGGAGAGAGAAGGGACTCCTACAAAGACGACTCTTGTTGCTCTACCAGCTGGACTCACTGCCTCAGTGAAAATGCAGACATCCTCTGCCTATCACAAAAGAGGGATTCCATCTCTGCCATCAACTTTACAGATCAAGTCTTTCAACAAGCTGCGCACATGTAACAGTGTGACTATAGCCTGGATGGGGACAGAGGAGCGGAGCCTTTACTGTGTATATCGCAGAAAGTTAGACGGTCAGGAGGCTGAGTCTGGAAAGGCATTAGCTCTGAACGCCCCCTGTCTGGGCCCAGAGTCCCGCTCTGACACAGAGAGGGTCCTCTGTAAGTATTTTCAGGAGCTCAACCCCCGGCGCGCTGTCACCACAGCTGTGATCAGCGGCCTGGAGCCTGGAATGGCCTATGTGTTTGATGTCTATCTAATGAGACGCTGGGGGATCCCTATCAAATACACTAGCAAGATGGTTAAGACAAGAAGAGACTGCTGAGCTGCCGCCCCCTGCAGGAAAAGGATCAGACTGTCCTAGTTTAAGGGAATGCTGACCACTAACATGCTGTAAAAACATGGTTATGCAAAAAGCCATTTGAAAGTTTACTGTTATGGAAAGAATTCCAAAAAAAGTTACTGTTCCCTCTTGAAAAACACTGGTTACATGGGAACACTAGGACTGAACCCATCCAGGAGGATAGGATGTGGATAAAGGCACTGGAGAGGGATCTGCACACCAGCAAAATGTTCATAACAAGTTACAATACATCTCTTGTGCTTTTGTCATTTTGTTTTTTCCATTGTGTAGGCCATTTGAGTTCTGTGCCAGTTGTCCAAGTGCTTATTTTGTGTGTAAGTACAATGGACATAGTGGTTTCTGATGAAATAAACACAAAAATAACAGACTGTGCCAAACAGAAACACGAGGGACAATAGTTGGCGAAATGCTGAAATGAGTGTGCAGTAGCCTCTACTCAATGCAACTTGTACAGGCTTTTGGAGACAGATGGGTATCAAGATACTTAGTTCAAAGTCAATGTGTACTTTGTGTTCTGCTTTTGCATGAAGCAGTGAGAATAGGCTAGTGGCTTGCCTTATTGTCTTTGATGTATCTTGTGCTGCTTTAAACTGCACCAATAAAATATTAAGTTCTCTGTGTAAATTGATGTCTGATTATATAGCTTTCCCTTTTGATCATTTTAATGCAATGTAGGCTGCAGGCATATGGTGGCCGTTATAGTTGTATGATCAGGCATGAAATCCCCCAGTAATATACAAATATGCATAAAATGGTAGCCTCTTGTTATAGAAACATGTCAATATGAGCATACAAAAAGAGCATTTAGATAACATAAATTTGATTTTTCCATATTTTCCCTACTTACAGTAGCACGTGCATCGCAAGGATAGACCATCTTCTGTATCTGTAAGGCTGTGCGCATAAAAATGCTTTGGGTTAGTGAGTGAATACCGTCAGAAATAAGCATACATTTGTCAAATATATACAGAAAAAAAGTAAATTAAAGCAAAAACCATGACCCGTGAACGCGCAGCAGACCATAACGTCACTGGTCCAAAAGCGAATAGAAAAAGGCTAGGATACCTACGTCATCGCGCCGACGTGCGCACGCAGGCAACGCTTCAGCTAGCGCGCCAAAGTGAGCTAGGTGCATCTTGAAATGTAAACTTTAGGGATACTTGCGTAATATAAGATATTTTGTGAACTGAGCAGTACTCCTGTCTAAAAAAACACGTCCCCATCGTTATTCTGACGTATTTCTGTAGCCATGGGTTTGATCGAGCGCTGTGACGAGCTATTCAAGACCTCCAACCTATATGAAGTACTAGGAACCACAAAGCAAGCGACAGAAGCTGACATACGACGCGGCTACTACAAAGTTTCACTCAAAATTCACCCTGATCGGGCTCCAGACGACGCGCTCGCCACGGAGAAATTTCAGGTTGTCATTTGCAATCAGATATGTTAGCTAGCCCAAACCACGCTAGACCCACCAACAGCAGAGTCAACACTAGTCAGCACAGGACTTTGTGAATATATGATTCTTAAACATGTATATTAGGGGTATATTGTACTTCATTTACAAAGTAACTGTTGTGTTTAACACATCAAAGAAGTTGTCACCAAAAGCTACAGATGCAAACAAACGGGTCGTGCTAATACAACAATCAGTACAACTGTAGTGACTATTTTAAATATCTATTTGTTTCTAACCATTAGCTGTGCTGTCTGCAGGTTTTGGGGAAAGTGTACGCAGTGTTGAGTGATGCAGAGCAGAAGGCGGTGTACGATGAGCAGGGCATTGTGGATGAAGAGATTGACACTCTGAGCCAGGACCGCTGTTGGACGGAATACTGGAGAGCGCTTTTCCCCACGGTACAGGGATTAATATGATGACTCTTATTTAATGTGTCCCGATTTAAGATCTGGCCAGAGGTTGTTAGAGTAGCCAAAAATGCACTCAAATTAGAGGAAAATTAATTGGGGTAAATTACAACTCAAGTAAGTAAATATAAAAGTAAACAAACAATGCACAAATGTTTGTTTTGAAGGATAGACCACAAAAATGAAGAAATAAATATATTTGAACGAGCAGTGCGAGAAACAAATGTTCAAATAATTTACTATAGCTAGCATAAACTTCTGTTACTACTCTGGAAAGTACAGTTTTGTCAAAAAAGTTCAAGTAAATGTAACTTGAGTACTTCCCACCTCTGGATATGACTTTGATATTTTCTAGGAATCATATCAACTGCCCATTAAGCTACATAACATCTGGCCCTTTATATTTACTTTGTTTCTGTATTTATCAGATCACTATGCAAGATATTATTGAGTTTGAGAAAAAGTACAAAGGCACAGAGGAAGAACGGCAGGATGTTCTTCAAATATATGTACGGTACGAGGGGGACATGGACCTCATCATGCAGTGTGTTCTGTGCGGCTCTGTGGATGATGAGCCCAGAATTTCCAGTATTATCCAGGATGGCATTGATAAGAAAGAAGTGGATGATTTCCCTGCCTTCACTAAAGAAAGTGCAAGGAAGAAAAAGGCCAGAAGGAAGAGGGTATGAATTATGAATGAGGAATTTTATAATTGTAAGACTGGATTTACTTTCAAGAGGCAGTTAATATATTTTGTTTGGTTTCAACAGGCTGATGAAGAGAGACAAGAAGCTGAGGAAATGCAGAAAGAAATGGGTCTTGGTGATGATTTTGAGAGTTTGACCAAGATGATTAAGGTATGTCTCATGAGTTTGTTTCTGTTGTAAATGTGTATGAGAAAATTTATTTGTTTTTATTTTTTCAGCTAAGACAAGAAAACAGTGAGAAGAACGTCAACAGTTTCCTAGCTAACTTGGAGAAAAAATATGCAAAAAAACCTGGAAAATCCAAAAAAGGAAAAAAGTAGGTTCAAAAAGGATTTGTCTATTAGCATCATTGTCAAATAGATGTTAATAAAAATTCTAAATGTTTGTGCATGTGTTTATTAGTCAAATTATTTCAGTTCAAGGTGGCTTTTATTTAAAACAAAACAAAATGTAGTTTTGTATCTTTGTCACAAGCCCAGCAATACTGTCCTGGTTCAAAACACACAAATACCATCCACTCCATATTAAATCACTTTTAATGATTGTGACTTTTCAGTGTTTTTTTTTTTAACATTAGACCCTGATGTTGAGAAAAAAAAATGTAAGAAAAGGCAACCAGAAACAGCATCACAGGTGTGGCATCGCATATTATCTTGTCCATTTGTGCAAAAGAAAGCAGTCGTTTTGTAAAATGTGTATAAAATTACAGTACTAAACTGAGCTTTAAAAAGTGCTTCTCTATCCCTGTAAGTGGATGTGTCATTCCCTGCATAGTTATTAAAACTGTACAATCAACTAAACAATAGTTTATATACTGACATATATACACATTACATTTACATTTTAAACATGTCGCAATTGATCTCATAGAAGCTCATATTGTAATTGAATTAGCTTTTTTGAAGGTTTTTGGCAGCTGTTGTTTCCTGTTTAACATTTTTATGGCTCTAAATGTATGTGATTTTCAGCATAGATTGAAAACATCAGCTAGTTTCACAAAGTAAATGCTTAGAGGGCACTATTGATGTAGTAGCACTGCTGCATGTTGTAAATGGCTGATGTTCAGGTAGTATAGGAGTTATAAACCAGGTCTTCCAGCTCTGGATGAAATCCCTCCTCGCGTATATGGTCGTGGAATGGACAGAGGCATCAGTGGAGCTATGTGGACAAGAAATGGAATTACTTTTATCTGATATGTACAACCTTATGAAGCAGTGTAATTGACAAACCTGAGACCGCACCATGTGAATCTGGTTCATCTTCATCTTTGATTGGCGAGTGGCCCAGTGGATGGTGGGAAAATGAGTCCAAAAAAGAAGAGCTGCTGATGCCAAGACTAACACCAGTCACACCAATACCTAGAGCATCTGGTGGAATCACATACAAAAACATAAATTCATTACCTAAAACTGGAGTATCAAACGTAAAGTATTATCTTACCTGCTGCCACAGAGGCCCTTCCTTGCCTCCCCTGACTGATGTTATCTAATATAGTAAAGGAGCGGCGATAAGGAGTGTCTGACTGAGTGAAGGGAAAAGATTAATGCAGCTTCATTTCAACATTAACTCAACCAAATCTAATAATTCTTCAGCATATAGTATGGCCTATGGTCGGGAAGCACTCTACATTGATATTATGAGGTGTGGATATGGGGTGCTATGTAATTATTAAGTCCAAATGTAAGTGCACCTTACCCTGTATGTGTGGGTGGTGTTAGGGCGAGAGAAGGCATCAAGGAGGTGGTGACGATCTCTGGGTATGGAGCTGCCAACATCTTCATTTACAGCACTGTGAGCACGGCTGGAGGGTCCTTTCTGACGCTGGGCAGATAAAAAAATAAAAAATAACACAGTTCACAAAATTAAAGAATCTCATACTATTATGAGTCAGAAAGAAAGAAAGAAGTCAGAAATCAGTGCTGTCCTGTGCAAGTACCTGTGCAGGTTTAGAGTTTTGCAGTGCATGGGATGTCTCTTGATCTCCGGTACCAATGGGAGGAAGAAGGGTGTTTCTGCTCAGAGGTAGCAGTGGAGATGTGTTTGCTGTGGGCCTGCAGGAAAAAAATCTAAATTCTAAATTTCTTTTCAGAATTGTATTTTAGAATGTTGCAGATGCTTTGTCATATCCAAGAACAAAAGACTTAATTAAATAAAAAGCAACTACAGAGGGGAACAAAAGGGGTTCCTCACAAGCGTGTCCCACGGATGATCTCATCCATAGAGCCTGCAGTAGACTGACTTAGAGAAGGGACCAGGGGCAGGAGCGTGCGGGGAGGAGGGTTTCTGCGCCGGGCTGACTGTGCTGGGCGAGATAATGAAGAGGAGCTCTGCTCCAGCATCCGCCGAGGACGAGTTTTGTTTGAGGGAACAACACTGGACCCTGGCCTTGGGTACAGCCTCTCATCTGGGTCTCTGCCAAGTAAAGACAGCTAGATGATTAAATAGTGATACCTCCACAAACAATCAAATTGGAGTAGAACTGTTATTTTGGCCAAAATGAAGAGACAAGTAAACACTGTCCATACTGGCTTCGATCCAGTGCAGTCAGATTTCGCTGCTGAAGAGGTATGCTTTGGATGACAATGAGGTCATTCAGGTTGTGCTGCGCTGCTGCTCCAACAGGGGCTCTTGCAGTCTGGACATGACAAAGGTTGTGAAAAGACAGACAAATGAGATATAGCATGTTAATGGTCTCATAAAATAAAAATAAAATTATTTGTTAGTATGATGTGAAGAATGTCTAACTGATTAATTGATACTGATCATGCAATGACAGGATCCCCCAAAACAATACTATGTCACCCACTAACTGTAAAGAAATGCTGAAATAAAGAATGAAGCATTCCATGGTTGAATAATTGAAAGAAAACAGATAAGACATTTGTGTTAATCAACAGGCACAAGCACATACTCTAGAGTCTAGACAATGAGCCTCCATCAAAAGTGTGATCAAGCACACCACTATTTTGGCCCCAAGGGAGAAAATTACATACACTGGAAGGCCTTTTCTGCTTTTTGGTTTTCCGTCTGGACTTGTGCTTTGAGCCCCTTGACTTAGAGTTCTTCAAGGAGAAAAGAGGACCAAGGGGAGACAGGAAAACAGGAAGTGAAAATGGAACGTAAATCAAATTTCATGAAGACAGAATAAAGAAAGACAACATTTTTTTTTTTTTTTTTAGTTTTTTGTTTTGTTTTTTAATGTGACAATCATAGTATATGGAGAATGGCATACAAGCGATAAAGGTAAAGGAATCAGTGTAAAAGGAGGGAAGAAATAGGGAGACACGTTAATAAACAGGCTGTATTACAGACTGAAAGTGAATTAACTAAAATTTGGGTATAAGAACAAAGATAAATGACTTATGTTGTTGTTGGTAGATTAGATTTACAGTGCATACAGCAGGATTCAAAATATGGAAATTAAATGCAGAGTGGAGAAAATTGGTCTTTTAGTCATTCAGATTACTGACCTGTATTGGTAAGCCTGCAAGTGGAGGCACCCTGCCCAGACCTAATTTGGGAAGTGTGGTAGGCAGTGTAGAGAGCAGCATGAACGGATGGTTTGATTTTTGAGGAACAGGGCTTAAGTTTCCACAAAGCTTCTCTTCGTCTACTAAAAAATAAAAATCACAAAAATATTTCAGTAATATTCAATTACTTTAAATTAGTAAAAAAAAAAAAAAAAAGTTCAGGCCTACACAAAGTACATCCTTCCCAGTGTCGCTGAACAAGCTCTTTTGTCCACCCAACCAGCTGCCGCCACACATCATCAAACAGCAGGTCCAGAACAGCCTGACGCCGACAGCGGTATGGGGAGACAGGTGGGAGGCAGTGATACCTGCGCCCAGAATCTGAACTATCAGGCTCTCTTTCACCATCCCTAAAGTGAAAACATTGTTAAGAACTTTGGAAACAACAAAATGTCTTGCATCTTTTAATGAACTTACACCTCCTGACTATCAAATGCCAGGTATTCCTCCATGACACCCTCCACTTCTATCACTTTGGATTTGTCATGATTACTGGATCCACTAGAGGCCGTTGGAAGTTCCTCCAGTTCTGATGAGGAGGGTTTTCGCAGCACTGCCTTTTTACCTTGAACATTCAGCCTTTAAAAAAAGATGAATAAATTCAATTTATACATTAAGACGTTTGTTCCACTATGCCAGGGGTGTACAAACTTTTTTCATCAAGGGCCACATATCTAAACACAGATGAAGCAGAGGGCCGATCGAGGGCCCTAGACTGGTGCTCAGTACAATGAGAAATTGAAATATGTGCATGTTTAACACGATAGCAGGAATAAATACTGATGGCTCATGCTAAGATCCTTAAAACCACACACTAAATATTAAATATTCGCTTTATCAAGGTAGATTTTCCAAAAACTTGCAGAAAAAAGTTAAGTTTTAGATGATGTAAGGTAATTTGGACCAAGTCACCTGGAAGCCTGAGGGCCAAGAAAAATGTGTCTGAGGGCCGCATTTGGCCCACGGGCCGTAGTTTAAACATGCCTGCACTATGCCTTTAGTTTAGTTAATTTTGAAAGCATAGTATGTGTTGTAATACTTAATTATCAAATGTGCTTTGGTAATACAAGATGCCACTTGTTACAATAATCTCCTTATCACTTCTAAACCCATGACCAACTTTGATGAACAAACTTAATCAACAAGCTGAAGCATCTAGGTCACAAACTCACTGAGCAGAGTAGGGCTGTTTAATAATAGATGGCCTCACTGCAGCTGTAAGTATAGACCTAGTCATAAAATTGACATTGACAAGATGACAGTTCCAGATTGAAATGAACCATTTTAGCCCATCCAAACAACATAGTGTATATTTTCATGAAAAAAGCAAGCCCAGGTGAGAGAAATAAGAAAGGGAGCTAGAGTTAAAACTTACTCTGTGTTGCTGTGGTCACTCTGTGGGGATTTGACACTGCGCTCTTTGACTGCTGACAGGCTGCTAGATGAACTGCTTTTTCCTGAAGTAGAATACCACTGGAAGCCTTCATCAGTGGGACACACCAACTGAGTGCCAATGATTCTGTATCAATCATATTTTATTTGTGAAATAATAAATAATATAAAGAAACACACCAATATAAGACTATACAGGTATTTCTTAACTATCCATTACATGTTATATACAGAATGGATAGGGATTATACCGAAGATGTGGGAATCGTGAAGCCCATTGTTGACATTCATCCTGCAGACCTGGCAGAATCCCTCCCCCGCTGCCTCTACCCTCATAAAGCTCTTTGTCGATCTCCTCAAACATTTGCTGCACCTGCCGTGATGCAGCCTTGTCAAATTCCTGTGGGAGAGAAAAACAGACTCCAACAGAGAAATAATGCAGGAGGCGATGGTTGTTATTCTCATGCAGCAGGCCTATGACTAAAGCTGTCACTGAGCACACTGTTCATTTAGTGAGGACACTTATTTCACAGGTTCAGCATGAATATTAATTAGTTTTTGAGAGGAGATGAGAATTTGCATGTTGAGTGTGAAGTGAGTGGAATAAAGTAGTAGCAAAATGCATGATTGAACAACATTATGTTAACAAGATATTTAAAAAATATCTAAGCTGTACGGTTTGAATGTGCACAAGTTTCTTCAAACATATTTTAACACCAAATTAGTATTTAGATTTTTTCTTTAGTATGTGACACTTACATCATAGCCCCAGGAGAAAACAGAGCTCCTCTCAGTGGAGATGCCAGTTCCTGTTGAACTCTGAAGACCAGACCAGGACTGATTAAAATCCACCGTGATAATAGTCGAACAGTCTGAGTGCACTGATGTAGCAGATGTCTCGGAGCTACACACAAATAAAATTAAAAAAGGCTACATAAGTCATTAATTATAATAAAACAGCGGTTCCCTTTGAATTACATTCTCTAATTCTTATAAAATAGTGGAAATTGTTCAAGCGGTGGTTGGAGTGTAAGTGGAAAATCAAGGGCAAATGTCAGAGTAATTGAATATTCTAAGAGGCCAGCTCATTGTTTATTCTTTTGCCTGCATCTCGAGGTGGTTATGTGATATCAATTTATCAGGAGCTTTCTGGTGCCTTGTTTCACATGGGGCTTGAGAGTCAGCTGTCCGCACAAGATGAGAGTATAATATTACAAAATACAACGATTCACAATTTACATAGGCATGTTTCATTCTTAACAAAATCCAGCAGCGAGTTTTACACCAATAATATGCGTTTTACTCACATCTATGTGCATAATATTTAACATCCAGAAGGGCGTATAATATTACAAAATATGACCATTCACAATTCACATAGGCGGTTTTCATTCTTAACAAAATCCAGCAGCGAGTTTTACACCAGTAATATGCAGGTTTACTCACATCTGTGTGGATAATGTTTAACCGTCAGAAGACATTACAAAATACAACCATTCACAGACAGTTCACATAGGCATGTTACATTCGTTATAAAATGCAGCAGTTAATATTACACCAAGAACATGCGGGTAATATTTAGCCCTCAGACAGTCTACTACCTGTTGTGAGTAGAACCCCCTTCCTGGAGGTCCTGGAGGTAGCGTGGGGTAGAATGGTCATCATCTGCCTCCTCAGGAAGAGGGTGGTGGTCAAGGCTGCTCCGAGACAAACCACGTCTGTAGACAGAATACGAAAAACACGCTCTAAGTCCAGTGTATAAACATTAAGACGAAACATAATAGGTCTAATTGATTTGTCTTTTGGAAACCCATGTATTTGATGCTTACATCTCAAGTTTATGCGATACTGGTCTTCTACTGTATCGCGAAATCATCCTCCCAGGTGTCTCATGTATATTCAGAAGCCAGGATCTTTTAATTCCGTGACCACAGTGTGGACCCGTGGAGGACAGGTGAAACTTGGCTCATACATGTCAGACCTGGTCGATGCGTATCTCAGCAGTCGGTGCAGAACATCAGCAGTTCGGTTCTTGATTGGTGTTCTTTGCTAGCCAATGTACGTCGGGGGCTACTACAATATACTCAGCCACAAATTCGAGTACAAAAAAAAACCATAAAGTAGTGGGCACGCGACCTTTTTCTTTACCGGTTGACTGGCGCCTGGTAAAGATCTCTTGAAGATTCTGAGGGTTCACATTTTGCACTTACTCACGAATGTGTACCAAAGCTGGTGCATATGAGCTGGTGGTGACCGCTGTATTGACGGGGCTCCCCCCTTTACTGGCGCAACAACAGTACACGGCTGTCATGGATACGCTGGTCTAAGTTCCCGTAGTCTTATGGGAAATGTATTTTACTCTGTCCAATCTAACCTATCATTCCGTCGGCGATAGACTACTTAATGGACTACAACTTTAACACTGCATTGCGGCTATTTGTGTGCGTCTCTGAAATATCTCCGCTTATAAAGTTCCATGTGAGCACAATGCCAACAGAATATAGGTTTAACTAGTATGAGGGTAAAAAATAATCTAACTCACCTAAATTAACATTAAACATGCTGTATGTAATATTTCAGTGGTTTAATCATTTAAATATATTACCGTATTTGCATTAAAATAATGGTCTTAAAACCGTGTTTTGTGTCGAGTCGAGCAAGTTACATCGTCGGACCCAAACAACAGTGGCGTGAGTGGAACGTTTTGTAGGTTTTAAGCGTGGTACGTCAAGTTGCCTGTTATTTGTAGTTTTAGGCAATTAAACTAAAATTATGGAGGTGCTTCAGAGGAAAGTGGCCCAAGAGGACACCGTACAGTACAAACTCTTTCTCGTTCAAATTTCGGACACTTGTCAAGTAGAAAAGCTTCTCGCTAATCTAATTAAGGAAATTTTGGGAAAATTTGCAACGCTCCTGGCACGGTATATTTGGCACCATCAGCCTTTTAACCTTAAATTATATCCAGAGAAAGGTAACACCAACAAATTGTTTGCTATTGCCTGTCAGGTCATATGATGTGTATTAACCAATTAAACTTTATGTTAGGGGATATTCCTGCTCATCTGGGAGGAAGCACCCAGTTTACAGATAATGTGGAAGATGAGTGGTTTATAGTGTACCTTCTTCAGCAAATAACAGAAGCATTTCCAGAGCTTGCAGCCAGGTATGATATTATGTTATTATGCAAAAACAAACATAGGTTGAATAATCTATTAACCTCCATGTTTTTCTTGCAGAGTTGAAGATAATGATGGGGAGTTTCTTCTAATTGAAGCAGCAGATTATTTACCCAAGTGGTTAAATCCAGATACTAGTGAAAACAGAGTGAGCTATGTCAATTTTATATATATATATATTTATATGTTTGTTCACACCTCACACATCTCACACGTTTGGTAACCACATGATGTCTTTATATATTACAGGTGTTTATTTATAGAGGGGACCTGTACATGATCCCCTGCCATACTCCTTCAAATACAGTGGGTATCCCTAAAGATGAAGTACCAAGTTTGGCTCAAGCCCTGTCACTACTATCATCCAATCCGGAAGCATGTCATCCAAGTAGTAAGATTTCGGCTGCAGTGAGAAGGAGACTTAAGGGGTAAATAAGCTATATAAGTTATAGAATACCTATGATGCATATTAATATAAATTTATTTTAGGTACCCAGAGAGGATTCAAACTGAACTTCACCATGCCCACTGCTTCATACCCGCAGGCATTGCACTGATATTAGCAGAGCGCCCTGATCTTGTGGCACCTGCTGTATCAGCATTTTATCTGCGGGACCCAGTTGATCTTCAGGCTTGTCGAAGCTTCAAGACATTTCCACCAGATACACGCATCCTCGCTATGGTATCCAGCTCTACAGTGTTTTGTTTTATAATTTTTTACTGTTTTTTCAATTTAAAAAAAAGTCACTTGTGTACGTTTTCAGGTGACGTTCACTCGTTGCTTGTTTGCTCAGCTACAGCAGCAACAGTTCACTCCCGATCGTAGGAGTGGCTATGCGCTGCCTCCACGCTCTGATCCCAAGTACAAAGCTCATGAGCTGGGCATGAAACTGGTTAAATCCCCTTTAATGGAACTTTGACTTTCTAAATATCGCACACATAATTTCACTCAGCCGTACTTTATATTTGCATTTCTCTTTTTAGGCACATGGTTTTGAGATTTTGTGTTCAAAGGCCAGAATGCCGTCTTCAGACCCTAACGCTCCAGTTAGCTGTAACCCTCAATGGAAGGGATTTATTGAATGTTTGAAAAGAAATGGCTACTTCAGGGTATGTCCGTCATGGATTTATGCCGTAATTGTCCCATACTGTGAGAAATAACTTAATCATGAATTCTTTAATTCACAGGGAGAAATTGAGGGCTCAACTCTTTTCAAAGACCTTTTATACAGAGCTGAAAACTTTTTCAAACAGTCTGTCTATTCTGAATTTAAGTAAGTCTATTGTGGTGGTAGCTATCATTAGAATATTTCTGGAATGGTCTTAAAATATGCAATTGCAAATGTATTTTAGTGCTTTATCGCCGGGTGACGAGGTACTTAAGATGTTGCAAAGTCTTCCTCCTTTTAGCCTGGAAGAGCTCAAAGAAAAGGAGTCACAGCTCCCCCCAGAGGACAGTAAGTGAAACAACTACCATTAAAATGAATGGTAGTCAATGGAATATCAAATCTAGCCCGGGAGATACGTTATTTACTATCTAGTGTGTTCTATGTTTTGTCATTGAAAGGTGACAGCTGGCTGGATATTACAGAACAGGATTTGGAACAAATGTTACAAGAAAGAGCCAAAGATTGTGATGCTGTGGAATTCCAAAAATCCAGTGTGAGCTATAGCAAAGATGAACCAGTTGACAGCCAAGTGAATGAAAATGCTGGATACAGTTTGGTAGCTGTCAGTCAGGGAATGAAAAACTTCCTGAATGCCATATCATCTCATGAGGGAGCTGAGCTGCCCCGGTGAGAAGACATTTGTCAGAATAGAATACAGAAAAAAGTTTAACATTTTTTTTAAAGCTTATTTGGTTTTAGATTTCTCATTTGTGTTAATTTTCTAGCTTAAGTCAACCTTTTAGCTTTGACCCAAATTCAATGGTCAGTGCATTGGACAGACTACTAGGTATGTAAATCATAACCAAATTGAAATATGTGTTTAGCATGCCCTCTCTTTCAAATGGCATTAAAATGAACTTTTGTTTATTTTACTTTAATTTAGGAGGCAGTGAAGAGGGAGAACTTGATTCAGATGACTTAGATGACGATGACAATGATGGTGGAGAAGATGAAAGAGAGTTTTCCGTTCCATCAGAAATGAACGGACCTGAGACACTGGATAGTCTTAAGAAATACATGGACCAAATGGATGAGGAGCTACTGGGCACAAATATAGGGCAGAGTTTTAATCAGGTACATGTATGAAAATGCATTTTCATATTGTTTCAAAAGTATACAAAATTGTTGAATTTTTTTATTTTTATTTTCGCAGAACCACAAGACAGATCCCCAAAGTGGCTCCTCTATCTCTTCTGGAGAAGGTAGTTTGAACAGGAATGAAGGAGTTGAAGAGACTGAAGAAGACATTCAGCCTCTAGACATAGACTTGAATCTAGTCACAAATCTATTGGAGTCATTAAGCTCTCAGGCTGGTCTGGCTGGACCTGCATCTAACCTGTTGCAGAGTTTAGGTATTCACTTGCCACCCAACTCTGACCCGTCATGAAACAAATTGAGATTAACTGAGTATTGCTGAATGGATAAACTAATGTTTCTATGTAATGGGGATGGTCGTTTTTATTATAATTTTTTTTCTATAAAGTATATATTAAAAGTCATGTTTTGGTGAGTGATTCTTTGTAATCCTAAAGACAAGGTTAAACACCAAATTCAAATAATGACTCTAACTCTGTTATATGGCTTTTCATACATGCAAATTAGAAAGGAATGTGTTTCTGTTGCAGAAGTGATCTTTAACATCATACAAATGTGCTACTTAAACTTATCTTTGTCCTGATCACTTAAACATTCATCCTTTCATCCATTTTCTTCCGCTTATCCTGGGCCGGGTCACGGGGCAGCAGTCTAAGCAGAGACTCCCAGACTTCCTTCACCCCAGACACGTCCTCCAGCTCCTCCAGGGGGATCCCAAGGCGTTCCCAGGACAGTCAAGAGACATAGTCCCTCCAGCCTATCCTGTATCTTCCCCGGGGCCTCCTCCCGGATGGGACATGCCCGGAACACCTCCCGAGGGAGGCGCCCAGGTCCTTTTTTCAAACAGGAGAGATGAGATCCTGTGGCCCCCAAACCGGACCCCCTCCAGCCCCTGACTGCACCTAGAAATTCTGTCCATAAATACAATGAACAGAACTGGCGACAAAGGGCAGCCCTGGTGGAGTCCAACATGCACCGGGAACAGGCAATGTGAACACAGGTCCTGCTCCGGTCATACAGGGACCGGACAACTCTTAACAAAGGGCTCTGAACCCCATACTCTCAGAGCACCCCCTAGAGGACACCATGAGGGACACGGTCAAATGCCTTCTCCAGATCCACAAAGCACGTGTGCACTGGTTGGGCAAATTCCCATGAACCCTCAAGCACCTGATGGAGAGTGTAGTGCTGATCTAGTGTTCCGCGACCAGGATGAAAACCATACTCCGAGGTTCAACTATCGGCCAGATACTCCTCTCCAGTACCCTGGCATAGACCTTACCAGGGAGGCTGCGGAGTGTGAGTCCTCTGTAGTTGGAACACACCCTCCAGTCTCCCTTCTTATACAAAGGGACCACCACGCCGGTCTGCCAGTCCAGAGGCACTATCCCAGACTGCCACGCAATGTTGCAGAGACATGTCGGCCAAGACAGCCCTACAACATCCAGAGAGTTAAGATACTCTGGACGGATCAATCCACCCCCGGAGCCTTGCCACCAAGGAGCTTGCCAACCACCTCAGTGATTTTCAGCCAGGGTGATGGATGAGTCTGCCTCCGAGTCCCCAGCCTCGGCTTCCTCCTTGGAAGATGTGTCGTTGGGATTGAGGAGAACCTCAACGTATTCCTTCCACCGCCCAACAACATCCCCCGCTGAGGTCAACAGCTCTCCCCTTGCACTGTAAACAGTGTTGGTGAAGCACTGCTTCCCCCTCCTGAGGTGCCGGAAGGGGTACCAGAATTTCTATGAGGCCATCTGATAGTTCTCCTCCATGACTCCCCGAACGCCTCCCAGCTCAGAGTTTTTGCCTCCACGACCGCACGGGCTGCAGCAGACTTGGCCCATCGGTACCCGTCAACTGCTTCAGGAGTCCCACAAGCCAACAAGGAATAGGACTCCTTCTTCAGCCTGATGGCATCCCTTAATTCCAGTGTCCACCACTGGGTTCGGGGAATTGCCGCTGCGACAGGCACCACAGACCTATACACTTGGGCCTGCCAGGTCTTTCTGGCTTGCTCTTCCACCAGCGGACCAAACTCACAACCAGGTGGTAATCAGATGACAGCTCTGCCCCTCTCTTCACCCGAGTGTCCAAGACACGCGGCTGGAGGTCAGACATGACATGACAACAAAGTCGATCAACCTCAACATCAACCTCTGGCCTACGACGTCCTGCTGCCACATGCACTAATGGTCACCCTTGTGCTCAAACATGGTGTTTGTTATGAACAAACTGTGACCAACACAGAAGTCCAATAACAGAACACCGCTCGGATTCAGATCAGGTAGGTCGTTCCTCCCAATCACCCCTCTCCAGGTGTCACTGTCATTGCCCACATGGGTGTTGAAGTCCCCCAGTAGAACAATGGAGTCCCTGGATTGGTGCACTCTCCAGTATCTCTCCCAGGGACTCCAAGAAGGCCGGGTACTCTGCACTGCTGTTTGGCCCGTAGGCCGACACAACAGTGAGAGACCTGTCCTGATCCGAAGGCGCAGGGACACGACCCTCTCGCTCACTGGGGTGAACACCAACACACAGTGGCTAAGCTGTGGGGCAATAAGCAAGCCCACACCAGCCCGCCGCTGCTCCCTGCAGCCAACGCCAGAAAAATGGAGAGTCCAGCCCCTCTCAAGGAGTTCGGTTCTAGAGCCCAAGCTGTGCGTGGAGGTGAGGCTGACTATATCTAGTCAGTAGCTCTCAACCTCCGGCACAAGCTCCGGCTTCTTCGCCCCCAGTGAGGTGACATTCCATGTCCCCAGAGCCAGTCTCCATTTCCGGAGATAGGGTCGACGAGGCTCCCGCGTTCAAATGCCGCCCAGATCACCCATATGGATCCTCCCATGGGTGATGGGTCCACAGGAGGATGGCCCCACATCCCTTCCCTGGACTGAGCCCAGCCAGGGCCCCATGGGGGAAGGGCCCGCCAATTATTTTCCCCTATTCTTTAAACACAATCCTAGATATTCTGGGATGTAAATATTAGCTTAAAATTATATTATACATTAAATGTTTGAACTGTTAAATGTTAAACTTTAAAAATGTATAGAAATACTGGAGATATCTGAAGTTTTCATGGATATCGTGTCATATTTTAGAACCAAAGTGCAATGATAAACTTAAAGTTGTCCAAAAAAAAAAAAAAGTTGGACATATTAAGGTCTCTGAGGGATCCACATTGAACCATCCTTATCACATTATATGGACTGTAAAAAAGGTAGAACAAGTGGGTATGCACAGTGGAGAAGTGCAGCAGCCACAGGTGAGAAACACAAAACAGTTATACAGATAAAGAAATTGAGTACCATCCCTAAAAGTAGAATGGCGGACAGATAGCCATAAAAGAGTAGACTGTGCCAGCTTCCCTGACTCAAAACATGCCACGGATTGTCTGGATGTAGCAGCCACAAAACACCCAAGACCCCGACCTGATTGACCAAGTGAGCATAGTAGATGTCAAAAATTGAGGCTTGGGAACTGACGGGATGTTGATGCTCCACTTGTGACACTTTTGCCAGCCAAATCAGAGAAACACAGAAGAGGATCAATGCCAGGGGTGCATAAATATACTCCAGAAATTCCATACCAGACACACCATGGGAGACTGGAAGCAAACAGTAAATGAAAGATCAACTGATTCTGTAGACATTGTAAATTTCAGCTTCCAAAAAAAGTCACTTCATTACCTTTGATGACAAGAGAGGTTCCACAAAAGAAGGAAATTAAAACAAAGATATGTGTGGACAGCGGAGACTGCAGCTTGAGGATGGAACTCAGAACCATAGTAAGGAGAGGTAGCAGAGGCAGAACAAGGTAAAACAGACTGGAGCTTGAGCTGTTGGATTTGGCCCACATGGACAGTACGCCATAGATGCTGCTGCAGATAGATGGCACAAGGAGCTTCTCACCAAGTGCCCTGGAGTAACTCTGAAGAGACACTGCACCCGACAAATGCAGTAGATGAAAAAATAACAGAGAGGTCACAACCTAGGAAGAAGGACATGTGGTCAATAGACACACACACAATCCCTAAATAACAATGCTATTTACTGCTATGCCTGGTGTCACATTACACATGTAAAGAAATAACCATTCAAAATAGTCAGACTTTTGTTTTGTATAACTACACAAACCAAATCAATAAATCAAATCAATTACATTCACTGTTGTCATTTTAAAACAGGCCAGCCATGAATCAGCAATATATTTTTATTGTTAATTTGTTAATGATCAATAGATTTTGTCCTTTCTCACAGTTGCTGTCCTCCTACCCCCCAGTATGACTTGTCCTTCATAGTCAAACAGCAGACAAACTCACTCAGAGGTTTACAAAAATAATAACTTAGCCTTCTCAGGTTAACTGTAGCAATGATTGACAATAAGGCCCTTTTACTAACATGCTTGTTCCATACCAACCTGCCCGAAGGAAAGGGCCACTGCATATGGATAGTGGTATTGTGGGATGAATATGCTAGCCACAAAGTTGTGTAGTTTATCTCCCAGACTGTAGATCACAAAGAGCAGTAGACAAAGAGTGGGCACCAGTGGTTTCAGACTATGATTGGAGAGAAGACTCTTCAAAAGCGAGACACACCAGCCATGTTTCACTCTGTCTGAACTGTAAGAAATGAGACAAAAATCAATTTCCTTGTGGCTTCTTTATCATTTGTGACTTAATATTAACTGTAAAATCAATAAAATAAATGTGCATAAGAATCAGCTGGTATTGCTTACCAAAGATAAATAAAAATATAATGAGATAAAAAATAATATTCTGATTAATTTACAAAGTAATAATGGTGACGCGAAGTGGAGTTACCTTTTACATATAATGCATTCATTCTGTGAATAGGTCTTTTTTCCACAGAAAATTCTCTATAGAACAACACAAGACAAGATTAATAGATTTTTAGCAAAGACAAAAGTATCATGAATAAATTACACCAAGACTTACCAGCATAGTGTCAGAAAACATGTTTGTACTCCACCCTTGTAACTGTGAGCCCAGATGGACAGATAGTAAATGATCAGCTGAGTAAAGCACTGTTCCCTCAACAGCGGGGACTTTGCACTTACTTTATGTGGAGTTGATATGATATACAACTTCCCTCCGCTACTTACCTCAGCGAACCACAGCTCGGCTCAACCACACCTTCAATTACCCTATTTATAGAGGCATATCCTAACAAAGCCGCCTACCTCCGCTCTCTCCACCCCCTCCTCCCTGTGTCTCTTCTTCAGCCTGAAGACGTCATCTACAAGGGATGGAGGGTCCTGAATCGGCTGGGCTGACCACCTGAGACAGAGCCCTCATCCAGTGTCTCCTCCCAGCCATCACATCTATCTATCTATCTATCTATCTATCTATCTATCGTCAATAAATATCTTTATCATATTCCATTGTTGTGGCATGGTTCTTGCTAGTGAATTGTATTCCAGTTTATCTGGCTCTTTACCTGATCATTCATTTTATTTCATAAAACTGGTCACAAACTAGAGCTGTGGTATTAGACAATATGGATGAAAAAAGGATTTCAACTCAATTCCGTTCTAATATTGTGGTGGATAACACTTATTAATTAAATATAAATTCATATTTCTGACAGTCTATTGTGCTGCTACATGAATCAAAGTTTGTAACATGACTGTTAGGGGTGTAAGAAAAAATCTATTCAGCGAAATATGGTTATTCTTCACTGCACAAATCTCAAATCAATTCAAAATGCATCATATTGATTTTTAAATAATATATAGCACAAAAATGCATTTGTTACATTCACTGTTCTCATGATTTAAAAAAAAATTTAAAATTATATTTCATACACTTCTGTTCTGCTGAATGTGTAGATGACCATATCATTGGTGTCCTTCAGATTCTAGAATGTGATGATGAGACAGATTCCTTATTACTAGTAACATTGTACTTTGTCATGAAATATCCAAAAGTTTATTAACAAATCTTTAATGTTATGTTTTCTACTGGTGACTAAACCCATTAAATTGCTATATAACAACAAACACCTACATTTTAACTGTATTTACTTTAGCTGCCCCCCGTCTGTATTGAATATTATTGGCCTATAGGATGCTGTGATGTCATCTGAAACCCAGCAATTAGAAATAATTGTTGATAAATTGCAATATATCATTCATAGTATTGGGATATATCATGATATATTGAATCGTGACATGCATAGCATGATATGCATTGTATCGTCAGATTCAAGCCAATGCACACCCCAAATGACTATGGTTACTTTATCTGACCCCTTGTCACTATAGGTCTTTAAAGTGATGTCATCTGAAATCCTTTTTTATTGACTTACAGTAAACACAGAGGGCTAGTCCAAACCATTGCCCTAGTGCCAGACTTTAGCATCTGTTTGTGACATTGATCCCCTATATTATCCCCTATCTTGACTCTCCCTCACCCTGGGACACTGCATGCCCCTCTGGCTCTTCAAAAACCCACACAGGATGGTGTCCCAGGTCACATGATCTCCATGCGCCTTCAAAGTAAACAGGTCTGTTTACATAAGAGCCCAGGGTCCGTACAAACACAATGGCAAACTGAGGGGCTCTAATTGATTCATTCACTCACAGTGCTATGGCAACAGCTGGGAACCTCCTGTTCTTTCTGGCTCTGCCTCCATTCACTGGTATTGTTGATGGTCACTGAAGTGTAAAATAAAAAGATAGGGATTGTATTCTCTGATTTTGTTTAATAAGTCCGACTAGATTCAAATTGTGATGGGTTAGTTCCTTTTATACTGGCCATTTTCTGTCAAATAGTTAAATGAAGAATAGCTATGATGACCATCTATGACCCTTTTGGTTGTCCAGCACAACCATTTATGCTTCTGTCCCATTTATCTAAAGAATGTCAAACTTTTTTAATGTCACAACATGAATTATATAAAAAGTGATTCTGATCTCTCACTCTGTGTTCTGATTGATAAAAAGTGAATATCATAATTATCATCTTTATGTTTTAATTTCCAGAGTCCGTCTCTCCATCATATGTCCCACCACATTCAATAATTTTATAGAATTTGTTTTTTAAATATACTTTCAAAATGTAAGCCACTATTTTGTGAACAAGGACTGTGGGTCTCTTTACAGTCAGCTGTCACCTCCAGCTCCCTTGTGGCCCTCTAAAGCACTTAACTGTAACTCCGTTTCCAAGACCACCAGCTAAAATAAGGGCAGGACTGAGACACGGCAGTGACCACCTAAAACAAATACTGCATTGCGAGTTTTCAAATCTTTATCAGTTTGGAAATGTTCTCTAAGACGTTCTGGATTTTTGTTTCTGTATAGCATGTTCTTCTAATGAAGGGCAGGTGGGAACAGCTGATGCATCTGCCAAAGGAGTCAAACGAGATGGGCGTAGTACTGTCCAGGTACAAACTTTCTTCTTATTACACTGCTGTGATATCAACATGTGGAATTAGTTTGGTGTCGATGTTTGTCTTTATGTCTGTTTTTACATCAGAGTGAATAACAGTTGCAGAGTGGCCTCCAGAGAGGCTGTCAGCACCATCCCAACTGTAAACAGTGTCTCTGACAGAGAGGTCAACAGTACAGACAGTGACCATTCCTCCATTATTCCCATCCAAAATAAAGGTAAGGCCAAGGAGTACTTAGCATTATCTTTATTTTTAAGAATGAAACTGTGTAATGTACACAAATTCAGGATATATGCCATAAACTCAAAAAATACTTTTCTTACAATTTACCTCCAAGACGCGTGTGAGCCCGAGGAGATCCTGGTGCCCTTGCTTCCAGAAATTGCACGTGTAGAGAGAGGCTATATCACCCCCTTACAAGTGTATAATCTTTTGAATGCAGAGGAGGGCCAGCCAATGCTCTACGATCCATATTATATCCTCATCTTGGACTGCAGGAGTGCAGAGAGGTGGGTGCTACAGAAGGATGCCTTTCTCTGAGCTTGGTACAAGAGTACCGTTTGATTATCCTGCACAAAGCAACACAGTATAAAGTAACACATTTATTTATAACAAATTATACAAATATTGAAATGGTATATGCCTAGAAGTTACAATGCACAAAAAAGATAAAACAGAAAACAGCGTAGTGTACAACTCATGGTGAGTATTTTATGGATGTGTCAGGTACAAGGACAGCCACGTGGTGACAGCGCGGGCCTGTGTCACAGTGATTCACCCTGAGCTGGGCTGTCTAATCAGCTGTATAGAGCTACAGAAGTATTCCATAATACTGTTGTATGCAGAAGAAGGCAGCAGTCCAGGTCAGAAACACACACTTCTACTTAATATCAAGGTGACGGTCATCGTTTATGTAAATGATGGTGTATGTGTTTCAGTGGGCAGTGTGAAGGCCCGGACAGACTCCCCTGATCTCCAGCGCTGCTTCTTCCAGCTCAGTGATTTGGGAATGGACCCTATTATTCTTCTGGGAGGGTTCACAGCATTTAACACCCTCTATCCTTTTCTCTGCACTTCTCATATGGTTCTACTCGAACCAGAGCGCCACACTCTCACCATTTACCCCTCAGAGATCCTGGAGGGGGCCCTGTATCAAGGCTCAGCAGCTCAGGCAGAAAACTACCGTATCATTAAGAACCTCCACATCACCCATGTGGTTAATGCCACAGCCAACAGTCCTGATGCCTTCCCCAACATGCTGTGCTACCTGAGGCTGCCCCTGAGTGATGATGCTCAGCAGGACTTGGTGGAGGCACTACCTCTGGCCTCCAGGTTTATCCATCAGGCTCTGAAGGGGGTGCCGGCAGGCCGGGTGTTGGTGCACTGCAGTATGGGCAGGAGTCGAAGCTCGGCCCTGACACTAGCCTTCCTCATGGAGCACAGGCACTGGTCTCTGCTGCATGCCCTGCGCTGGTTAAAGGAGAGGCGGGCGTGCACAGCGCCCAACATAAACTTTCTGCAGCAGCTTCTGACCTATGAAGAACTGCTGTTTGGGAGCAGACTCACCTCACTGGATGACATTCGCCGATAAAAGTGGATTTCAACTGAGTTGTTATTAATCATATTTCAAATCGTCAAATGGGAAATTGTTTTAACAATGAGCTCATTTTGCACTACGAGGACTGATAGACTTTATAGTAGGCCTGTTATTACCTCCACAAGTTTGCCAGTAGGCCTGTTCCTGTTTCCACAAACCCCTACTGTGTGTCTGTGCTATGCCTAAATAACAAAAACATCACAACTCTTACAGTGGCTCCAAAGTGTAACTACTGTATGGGTACTGTTAAGATGCTTGTTTGGTGATAGATTTTCAATAAAATATTTAACAAGTCTCCATGACTTGATTTGAGTAAAGCCAATAAGGAAGTGTTGTTTGTTGTGTTAATGTAAATGGACAGATATGGGCTGCAGCGAAGATCTGTAAACTGCAGGCTTGAACTCACACACACTAAACTCCACCCCCAACAGCAACTGGAATCCCTCTGCCTTCTTCCTGAAAGAATTTTCCAGAATTGGTACCAATGGAAAGCAAAATAACTTAAGTGAAACTAGTTTAATCATTTGCAATTGAAATATCGACCCTGAATACGTTATAAGTCAATCTAATATCTAATCTGTTTTAAATGCATGCAAGTTTGCGCCCATCATGAACACTGCTTTGACTCCCTTATTACGCGTGGCAGTGCGACACCTCACCCCCAACTCCTTTATGTGTCTTTTCTGTGCAACAGTCTAAATCAGCCTTTCATGTGTATGCAGCTTTATGAGAGGCTCACTCTAAATATTCACCCATGGGTGTCTCTCCGCGGTCAACAGAAGATCCCTCCCTTACAATTTACCAAAGACAGCCCACTGAATCTCGTGAAGCTTCAAGTTTGGATGTGAGATTCGGCACGTAGCGTATAGCTGACTTTTTACAAATCCAACCCATCCATGGCCCACGGATTAGCTTAAATTTCAGACGGAGGCTTTTTCAGACGCATCCTCTCTCAGTTGAACGGAGCAGGGAGAAAACGCCGGGGGGCAGCCTTTCTGCAGCGAGATGCTCTTCTCAAGGTAAAACTTTCACCAAATATAGAATGAATCTCTGCGACAGAAAATCTGACAGAAAACAGAGTTAAGAGAGTGTTAGCCTAGCACATCTCAGGAGGGTTAGCATTTTGTTACTATAAAAACAGATATAAAGCAAGCTAACGCAGCTAAGCTAGCTGAAAAAGTTAACTTTCACGACAGAAAGTCAATGCTCAGCCCCACCCAGCTCAAACGTAAACGCGCTTTACATTATGCTACACAACTAAAGTTTATTCACTCATTACTTTGTATTCTCTCGTCCAGGCTTCACGCGTAAGATACTACTTTTGCTAATCCACAGTAATGGCACGCATTCCTGTGCAGCCATCGTGGGATGCTCTACAGTGCTGCAGAACTCCCAACTTTATCTCTCCAAAGTGTGAAAGCGACAGTAATCCACCATGTGTTTTAGTTACAGGACAGAATTTATTTTTTTGCTTTCATGCATAAATGTTTTGCCGATGTGAAGTTATGACCCTCTATTTTGCCTGAGGTTTAAAGGTTATTGACAGGTTGGAGCAGGTACAGATTTTGGGAGTCCATTGAAGTGCGCAGGGCGCACACGAGTCCCCGGCGGGGAGGGGCGAAGACGTGGCAGTAGTTCCTCCGTCCAGCACTTCCCATTAGAGAAATCTCAAACATAAAATACAGACAAAATGTGTGTCTTTATCGGAAATAAAATGTTTTAAGTAGAAATTTAACTGAACTATATTGTGGCACTAGTAAGATGGTACATTACCATGGTAATCTATCTGGATCTATCTGTCTATCAATGTGTGACATAGCATATCTTAATGGCATTTAAAACGGTATTGGCTCAAATGTTCAATGTCATTTATATGCAAAGGTTTTTGTAAAACTAGTCTTTGAGCTCAGAATCATACTGTTACCAAGAAAGCAACGTTGCATCATTCAAGTAGCTTATTCCAAACATAGCCCTTTCCGGCTTTGTTCCTAAGTATATTCAATAATGACATGTTCTTGGTCAGTTATTTTACATTTTGTGATTGTCATACGCAATTTAGACCATATTGTACTTGGACTACAGGATATATTTGTATTTATTTATTCTTGACAAAGTATAATGTTGATGAAATGTGTGTCAAGGTAATTTATTTATATTTCTACAGTTAGAGTTAGCCTATGGTTGAGGGCTGACAGTGCCACTCCTTAGTGATCATGGCACTGTGTACTTGAGTCACAGAGACTAAACCCAGACATACACTTTCATGTGGTGTATTAAGAGTTTTTTTTTTTTTTTTTAACAATTTACTCTTTCCATGTTGGCTTTAAATGTCTTATTTAAATGACATGACAGGCATAAGGCAGACAGTTTAGAGGAGGTTACTATGATAAATAAATGTCTTGCCAAAAGACACAACAACAGTATGCAGCAATGGACGCTGGGATGAAACTACCAACCTTGCAGTCAATGTGTGGGCATTGGGCAAACACTCCAGAATTTGACTTGCTATCATGCTCAAAATATTGACCAGGATATAACACTTGTTTTACAGTGTGTGGATTATTCGTATGGCTTAATATACTATACTTTTGACCCTCTTTCAGAATGGAGCATCTGTGCTGGTGTTTACTGTTGTTAAGCAGTCTACAGTCTGTCTCAGCAGACTTCTTCACATCCATAGGTAAAATATAGATGCAATGTCAAACTAATTTTAATACATGTTTCCCTTTTCAATTTAAAATCTTCTATATTGCAGTTATTCTGACAAGCATTGTGATTAGATGTACAATTTAGATTTTAACAATAGGATTCTGTTCAAGTTTACATTGGCGTCTAGATTGTCTAGTTGATTAAAGACTGAAATGTGAACTGACAAATCTCTTTTGCACAAATATAAACTACACGGTTAGTGTTCAGGGATCCATATATAGATATCTGTGCATTTGGAATTGAGATTCAAATGTGTACAAAACTACACACTTTTATCTGTATTAAATGGGGTACCACAGTATCTTTTTTTTCTGTATTTTTTCTAATGTTCTTAGCTTATGGCTTTGTGTTTTACTATATGCATTTAGCATTGCATATTCTGTGTATTCCCTAGGTCAAATGACAGATTTGCTATATACAGAAAAGGATCTTGTCACTTCACTAAAGGATTACATTAAAGCGGAAGAGAACAAGCTGGCTCAGATCAAACAGTAAGTTTGTCATTATGCTAATCATTAAGTGAATATCTTTCATTAAATTAATATGTCATGAAAGGTGAATAAAATATACCTTGTTTGTATTAGGTGGGCTGATAAGATGGATTCACTGACCACTACAGCCACTAAAGACCCTGAAGCTTTCCTGGGACACCCTGTAAATGCCTTTAAGTTGGTAAAAAGGCTTAATACTGAGTGGGGAAACTTGGAAAGCCTTGTGCTTAGTGACACCACAGATGGTAAGTACCAATAGTTTATCTCACAACTTACCAAGAGCTGAGAAGAATAAAAGATTTATGTCCATCCAGGACATCTTTATTAATGTTAGAGGAGATGGATAAAAAAGAAACCATGACAAACCAGAGAATCAGAGCTGGGGACTCGTTTATAAAAGAATGAGAGAATTTTGTTGGGCTAGTGTGTATGTCTAATGATGTAGGGATGAGCAAAGCCCTACACCTCAGTAGTAGAGGTTTTGGAAATTCACATGGCGCTCTGCCCCATGCATATTGCATAAGAAAATGTTGTAAATGACACCCCAGGTCACTGCCACTTCAGAGACTACTTGATGAAGTAAATTTTTTTATTAATTATTACTTATTTATTCCTTTTTTTTCTCCAGGATTCATTTCCAACTTGACCATCCAAAGGCAGTACTTCCCTTCTGATGAGGACCAGACTGGAGCTGCCAAAGCCCTTCTGCGGCTACAAGACACTTACAGGCTGGATTCCAACACAATCTCCACAGGCGATCTACCTGGTCAGGAATAGTCTAGCTTTTACAGATCCCCTGCCTCATCTAATGTACTGAGTTCAAAATATTCATGGGACACTGTTTTTTTTGTTTTGTTTTTTTTTTCATTATAGGAGTGACATACAAGAGCCGCATGACAGCAGAGGACTGCTTTGAGCTTGGAAAAATTGCTTACACTGAGGTAGATTACTACCACACAGAGCTTTGGATGGCACAGGCCCTGAGACAGCTTGAGGAAGGAGAAGAGTCCACTCTGGATAAAGTGACTGTGCTCGACTACCTCAGTTATGCTATTTACCAGCAGGGGGAGATGGAGAGGGCCCTGGACTACACCAAAAAGTTGCTTGCCATAGGTCAGTAATTCTTTTGTAAAAATTTCCAGAAAAGAATATAGAAAAAGTAATAAGCTCTGATAAATATAAAAAATACTGGCAAATGTTTTATACATTATATTATTATAAAGAGAAATGATTTAATTGTATATTCTTTAGACCCAGAACACAAGCGTGCCAACGGTAATCTGAAGTACTTTCAATTTCAAATTGAGAAGCAGAAGAAGGCTGCAGAGGAAGAAGGTGCAAAAGAAGACCTAGAAACTGACAAAGTTGAAGTAACAAAGAAGAAGAAGAAGAGATCTGCAAAGGCTGAATTCAAGCTTATTCCAGAGAGAAAGAAGTATGAGATGCTCTGTCGGGGAGAAGGGATTAAAATGGTAAGCAGTTGTTGGACAGAGATTCCATTAGAAAGAAAGTATTCATATACTTACACTGAATGTTACCTTTTCTCCTACAGACCCCGCGCAGGCAGAGTCGGCTTTTCTGTCGTTACTATGACAACAACCGTCACCCCAGACTTTTACTAGCTCCTGTCAAGCAGCAAGATGAGTGGGACAAGCCCTACATTGTCCGCTACCTTGACATAATCTCTGATGAAGAAATTGCTAAAGTCAAACAGCTTGCAAAGCCTAGGGTAAGTTTGTTAGTTATTTTTTATGTATTTTACGTTCCTGTAGTACACAAATGTTAATAATGTATAATAATAGAAATTAATAGAGCTCCTGGTGTTTCAAAAAATAACCATGGTTACTATGGAAATCCACTATGTTTCACCAACTGAAAATTCTATGAGACTTGACAACATGATCTCAAGATCTAACAAGAATAATCTGTATGACCAGTTACATGAAAAGTCACAGCTAAAGTTAACCAAAGCAAAAATGACTTGATCACACATCAGTTTGTGGGGGATAAATAATATTCCTGGTTCTCAGCTGCGCAGAGCCACCATTTCCAACCCCATCACAGGCGTTCTGGAGACGGCTCATTATCGAATCAGCAAAAGGTAAGGCAACGGCCGTCCCCAGAAAAGAGTATCGGCCGAGAAGCTCAGCTTCTCTGCTGTATTCTGTGCCTGACTCAATTTTTCTCAAGACTCCTGTACTAGTTTTAAAAAATCTTGAATCTTTTTATTTTAATACCAACAGCTTTTCATAAGTGTTTGATAGTGGACAAATCTTTGCTCAGGAGTCTGATCAAAATTGACAAAACAATAATGACAAATGATTGTGTTTGTGTTGCTTATTTGTAGCTTCCTGTAGAACTTGAACTATGTAATAATCCATATTAATATAGTGACTGTCTGCTCTTTCTTCTCTTTCCATTCTTTCTGTGTCTTATTGCACAATACATTTTTTATAATCCTCTCCTTGTTCTGCGGGAACTACTGTAGTTAAGGCGAGCCACGGTGCATGACCCTCAAACTGGGAAACTTACCACAGCCCAGTACAGAGTCTCCAAGAGGTAAGGCTAACAGGCCATCAGAAGACCGGGATTCTTCCTTATTAACAATATTCGGCACAATATCATTCATCATAAACGGTTCAGTACAGCTGCTACTTAAAATATCTTATTAAAATAATGGACTATTGTCATACAGATAAGTTTACTTTTTTGCAACTTCACATCAGCTAATGGGATCCAGATTACAGTCATTACATAGCACAAAACAATTAATGCACAATAAATTATGCAATAAACACCATCATTTTGCAACAGTAGATATTTTTTTCAGTATTTATCCAAATAAATGGGAATTTGTTACGGAGAAACCTGGTATCCTGAGCTGATTGGAGATTCTAATCTTATTACGGCATGTTCTTGACTTTTTAACATTTTAGTTCTGTGCATGTCTGAATGTTTTAAACTTAATTAGCAAGTTTTTGTTCACTAACAAAAAGACATTCATTCACATTGAGCTATTTTATTCCTTCAGTTTATCTGCGGAAATACCAACAGGAGTAAGCTAAAGGTGAATGAATGCTCCTTGCATGTTTTCAAAAGTACACCTTTATTGCCATCTAGTGGTATAGTTTTGCATCACACAATATCACTGCTAATGTGCATTTTGGTCGCTTCTAAGTGCTTGGCTTACAGGCTATGACGATCCAGTAGTTGAGATGATCAATGAACGTATTGAGGACATCACAGGTCTGGAAATGGACACAGCAGAGGAGCTCCAGGTAAATCTCTTTGAGCTAAAGACTTACAAGTTTGGGTTTGATTATTTCAATTTAAAATGTTTTTATATTAATCTTTAGGTCGCTAATTATGGAGTGGGTGGACAGTATGAACCCCATTTTGACTTTGGAAGAGTAGGTCCACAAGCTTAAATTAACAATGGTTATAAATGTAGTGGTGTTGGCACAGCATCAAACTTATTCATACCTCTCTCTCCACAGAAAGATGAGCCGGATGCCTTCAAAGAGTTGGGCACTGGGAACCGTATAGCAACATGGCTTTTCTATGTAAGTATGATTTAGTTCAGTACTATGACCAGTACTATCGCAATAACATATAATCCTTAAGTAGCTATCAAGTGAAATTTATCAGATTGCAAAGATACTACACAATATAGTCCTAAACTTCAAACTATTATGGGGTAAATCTTTGACCTTTTTGAGCTTAAACAACTGTGTGAAACTGATAGCATCTATTGTGTTTGTTAATATACAACTGCATGAAGAACACTCTAGTCTTTGTGTTTGTCTTCTAGATGAGCGATGTTTTAGCTGGTGGAGCCACAGTTTTTCCAGATGTTGGAGCAGCAGTTTGGCCTCAAAAGGTATGTGTAAACTAGTCACTTGACACATTAAAAACTGCTCAAATGAATACATGATGTCATGTGTTCAAAAGACAGTTATATTAACGTAGCATGGTTTTAAATTGATTCTTCCTGTGTTTTTTTTTTGGTTTTTTTTCTAGAGTAGTGCAGTATTTTGGTACAACTTATTTCCTAGTGGGGAAGGAGACTACAGTACCCGGCATGCAGCATGTCCTGTACTAGTGGGCAACAAATGGGGTAAATTTCCATGCCTTTTTTCATATCTCTTATTTTGTGTGTTTTTAAAGGTCCTGTATTACGCAAATTGACTTTAAGCCATGTTATAATGTTGTTCCCTCCAAAATATACTCAAAAAAATCCTCTGTTTGAGAGAAGAACATCTAAATATGCAGGGTTTATGTTTTAAACATTTGTGAATAAAACAAAACACAACTCCAGGTATGTTTGTGATGAGGAAACAACATTACAACATAGATGAGAAAATGGCATACTATAGGCACTTTAATAATATTTCTTGTCCTCCCAGTATCCAACAAATGGATTCATGAAAGGGGTCAGGAGTGGCGGCGACCTTGCAGCCTGAATGAAACGGATTGAATTGGAAAATACCCTCCTCTTGTTCCCTTTGGTCACTTCCGACTGTTCCACCCTGGACCAAATCCAGACCTCTGCATACTATGACATACAGATAGATGGAATCCTAAGGGCCTCTCTTTTGTCAAACACTCCACTGGTTTACAGAGCCGGGGTCACAGCACGGAGACTGTTTAGGGTAACGTTGAGCTCCTGGAGAATAGCGTTAGCATTGCTGTGACTGATGATGCTTCCCTGCTTGTTGGTGGAGTTGGAGAATTGTCCCCACTAAACTACACACTGCACTCCAAATGAACTCTCTCCCCGTGATGACTTGGCTCATGATTTAGTTTTTAACCCCAGACTCTTCACAGGCTGTTTGAAACATAGGATAAATTAATTTCAAGTGCACTGCTATTAACTCACTTCTAGTTTAGTTTAAAATTTAAAGGTGCACTGTATACTTTTAGGTTGGGGATCTTGTTTCTGTGGTTATGTCATTGTTCTGCCTAGAATGCTTCATAGTATGACATTGAACAGCTCTACCTTTACATTTCTTCAATTACAGGTGGTTTTAGATCTCAAAAATACCAAGAAAAACAGGCATTCTGACTATGAGCAGGGTTGCCTCCTCACAGATTTGACCTGTAACTTGGTCAGGTTTGATGAAGATAGAAGGGTTTAATGCCATACTGTGGATCATTCCAGACAAAGCAATAACATCTCCATGGAGAAAAGCATTTGACAGACACTCCACCAGAAAAATTACACAATGCACCTTTAAGGCATCATAGTTGGTCATGTAAAACAAAATACATTTAAAGTATAATATAATAATTTGGCCTAAATATTGCTTATGTTTGCGCCCAAATAAACTGTTGCTTTCACGCACCACACTTTCTACTGACAAGAATAAACGGGCTATTTTTTATAATGATGCAATGCAACAAACCTAGTGCTCTGAGTATTTGAATATATTGCATTTATTTATGTGTCCCACTCTTTGTGTTCTTTAAATCCTGTTTTAAATCATTGGAGTTGTTTTTCTATAATAAAGATTGTTTTGATAGTGTGGCTGATTACTGATATGTGGCTATTCCCCATCTGCCGTTTTGGGTCTGGGTAATGTTCGGATGGTGTCACGTGACTGGCCAGTACTAATGAGCCCGTCCCTTTTGAACTGAGGCGACAGGGCCAGACGTCTGTCGGGTCGAGAGGACAAGGGCAAGCGTGAGAGATCAACAGCAACTCTGAAGAAAGCTATTCAAGAAACTTTGCCGTAATTAACTTCAACTCGAATAGAAAGTCAGCGAATTTGAGCAAAACGAACTGCGCAAAAATGATGACCCAAATGGATACCATGGTGCACTATGATAATGGCTACGAGGACGAGTATATGATTCAGGAGGATGAGTGGGACAGGGACATGCTTCTCGACCCTGCCTGGGAACAACAGCAAAGAAAAGTAAGTCAGAACTCGTCTTGGCAACGTGCGTAAAAAAAATTATTACGCGCACTGAGCCAATTAAAATAAACTTTGATAAATACATGTTGGCGGTTTATTAATGAATCTTTTACTGACCTTTAGTTTTTTTATCACATATTTTTTATTATGAAGTCAAACGTCTCGCCCACAGAAGAACAATAGCCCTTTACAACGTTTTTTTTTTAACAATATTTATTTGCTCTTCGGCCTTGTTTTTCTTCAAAACAAAACTACACCAACCCCCCATGTCATATAAATGTTCTCTGCCTGGAACAGTTTGTAAGTTTTATTGACTTTTATTTAGTTCAGTTCTTATGACTTAAACAACCGCCCAAAAGTTGCAAGAAAACATCGTAAACACATTCTAATAAATATGCCTATTTGCCTGCGTGATCCTGGTTAAAGTATAGGCTACTGGCGTGACTGTGGTGTGCAGGAGGAGGAGAGATGCGCTGGTACCCGCTAACAATAGCAGTGGTCCAGCGGCTGATACGAGCGGAATGCGGCCTGTCAACAGATGCTCCAACACATGATGACGCTCTTGGGATTAGAAAGGACGCTGCATCTAAATTTAACCCCGGGACCAAAAGGCTTTATAGTAGGGCTAATCCGGTGTCCTTGGTGCTGTAATTCTTTTGTTTATAGAAACCTCACAGAAATATTGTCCCAGCCACAGCACATCTCCATATCTGTCTGAGTTCCACGGAAACAATCTGTAACTGTTGTTTCTGTTTAACTCACCTGCCGCATACATCTCTGATTTATTTTAGTCCTATTTCTAGGACAGAACTCATGTCTGTTATTTTTTGGCTAAATCAGTATATTTTGCTTCTACTGACATAGTGATTTTCCATAGGCCCTTGATAAACATTTGGAGATGATAAGTGCAAATTGGCTGTGCTTGGAGCAGAAGGCAGCTGTTAGAAATGTCCCCTTCTCTTCTGATACACGTGGTTAAAACTGAGTTATAAATCATACACTAGCTTAATATTTTACCGTGAGTAAAGTCACAAGGCTTTGTTGGGACAACCAGGCCTGTTTGTGTTCCAGAGCACATATAAATGCTTTGGTAAAGCAGTTTGACTACACCACAAATAAATTGTGACATTCTCTGTAAAACAAAATGGAAATGGCCACTGTATGTACATCATTTTAGGAGCATGACAGATTTTGAGCTGGTAGTTGCCAGGGCCTAAAGAGCCAGTTCAGTGGTGCCCGGTGGATGTGATTCATAAATATTTTTAGCGGTTCTCGTCACTGCTCAGCAGTAGTGCTGGAAAGAGTGGTGAGGGTGGGCAGCAGGTTTCTGGAAGCGGGGTCAAATGGAGTCTGATCTGTTGTAATGTAGCAACAGCTCAAAGTCACAAAGTTTAAAGAGAAACACAACACTATTGTTTTTACACCAGTAGCTTATCTTGTTCCATCCAACCACTACAGTGTGCGGGGGTGACCTCATATGGCTGAATAAGTTGTCAAAATATTTCTGTTTCAAAATATGCAATGACTGCTATGTCCCAAAATGCTTTTGAGGGACCCAAGAAGTTTGGAGGCATGTAAACCATCACAGTAGTTAAGTAGCACTTGACTCTAATGGCCACCGGGTTTGCGTTTCCAACCGTCATTCATGCCAGACATAGTAAAAGGTGTCACCTGGACGAACAGCATACATGTTATGATAAGGTTATCTCCTATCTGCAGCTGGACCTGCTCATTATACTGTGATGCAGACTGACACAGTCTGTCTCCACGTGACATTTTCAGCCATGTGGACGTTTTCCTCCCCATGTCTTATCATAAAGCATGCCAGAGCACTCTAAATTTAACACCTTATATCAGTTGGAATGTGGTGGGCTTTCTGCTTTTATCCGTACAGTGCCGATCACTTTGCTCCACTACAGGCTTTTGAGGTACAATGATCTAGTCCAGACTTGGTGTACAGTATAATGTATACTATGTGAGGGTCAGTTGTGTTGTAAAATCACTACTGATGTATAGGGCATAACTGTTAAAAGAACTACAGACAAATATATTGCACTGTTACCTGATTATAATAAATTATAGTTAGCTGAAGTCACTCTATGATGGCTTTGTTGATTATTTTGTCTTTTTGTCTCTATTTTGCTTACAAATGCTAATATATGTGTTGAGAACATTATTTTCATGATTCATGATTTCAACAGTTTAATCAGATTTTATGGCATCACTGAAATAAAATGTACATGTTCGCTATTTTCTCATTTGACAATTACATGAAATCTAACTTTTTTCTTCTCACAGACCTTTACAGCTTGGTGTAACTCTCACTTGAGGAAAGCTGGTACACAGATTGAAAATATTGAGGAGGACCTCAGGAATGGTCTCAAGCTCATGCTCCTTTTGGAAGTCATCTCAGGTCAGGATTTAGATTTTGATGCATGAAATATGAACCTATGTTTTGAAAAGTCACTGAATATTAATGATGCTGTTGTCTATTCCTCATCTGCCGCAGGTGAAAGGTTACCCAAACCAGACAGAGGGAAGATGCGATTTCATAAAATTGCTAATGTAAACAAAGCATTGGATTTCATTACAAGCAAAGGGGTCAAACTGGTCTCTATTGGAGCTGAAGGTAATTTTAAGCAAGCACAGATTGCGTTTTGTGTTTAGTAAAGAATAAATAGCATCAAACTGGTATTTCTTTCAGAGATTGTTGATGGAAATGTAAAAATGACACTTGGAATGATCTGGACCATCATCCTCCGCTTTGCCATCCAGGACATCTCTGTCGAAGGTGAGACCACTGAATAAAAAGATGAAAAATACCAATAGCGAATAACATTCCTTCTTTTGTATCTGCTCAGAAACATCTGCAAAGGAAGGTCTTCTCTTGTGGTGTCAGAGAAAGACTGCTCCCTACAGGAATGTCAATGTCCAAAACTTCCATGTCAGGTAAGTAAAATGGCTGGTTAGAATGGGAATTTGAAGTTTAGTGCACTTTATATTTTGCTAATCCCGGCTTTGTCTGCTATAAGTGTTGTATGGTTGGTAATGTCTGTGGGTAGACTTCAGCTTTAGTCCTAATCCTTATTGGACCTGACTGTTGGTTCTCTGTGATTGCTGGCCGGTGAAGCTGGAAGGACGGCCTGGCTTTCTGCGCCCTGATTCATAGACACAGACCCGACCTCATCGACTACTCTAAGCTCAACAAGGTGTCGTGTGCTCAGACAGATAACAGGGTGCTGTGTGTGCCAGACCCTAAACACTAACAAACCAGTCTACGCAAATGTGCCACTGATGAGAGGCTGCACCGAATGCTAAACATTCACTGCGTAATTCTGCTGGTCGTTTGTGTTTTGCCCATTTATGCGTTTCTAAATAGAGGTATATAATATAATCCAGCACGGTTTTTTATGCATGTCTTTGATCTCAAAATGTTCCCACTGGTAGGCAAGAGAGCAAAGTATTTTTCACTTTATCCAACTCAAAACATAACCATGCATGATAGATGGTATGCATCAGCTCCATGTAATGTTGTCAAACTAAAATACTTCATAATGAGATTGTCATGCTTTTCTAAATTTTACCTTAGTTAAACATGTATAATACATGTTTTAGAGATATGACTGGGCAAAGGAAATTTTTTTTCTGAATATTATTTTCTGAACATGAACAATACAGACTCTTAAACATTGCCATTTAATATAAAAAATAGTCAAATGTCTTCCTCTAAAGTCTGATCTCTGTTCGAAACCACATCCATCCATTTTCTATGCTTTATCATGGGAGCTTTTCTGCCTCTCAGTGTGGAGGAGCATTGACTCCACTCTGAGTTCTTCCTGGGTGACTGAGCTTCTCAGTTTGTATACACGATCTTGCCCTTTCAGCCATTACCCAAAGCTTATGACCATAGGGGAGAATAGGAATGTAGACTACATGAGTGCAGACCAGGACCAGTCCCCTGTGTGACTGACTGTGGTACTCTCAGTTAAAGACTGATCACTGATGATTAGACATGACTGAATCTCAATTAAAATTGCACAGCCCTGATTAGAGGACAGATAATTATTATAGCTTTACTGTTTGGGATGATTTAGAAGGTACAGATTTATGGTTACCTGTCACTGTCATTATTGAGGTAACGGTGACTTCTCAGCTCTCCACTGACCTGACTTGATGCTGACCCGGAATAGTCACAGAAACATGAGCCTAGTCCCTACTGATCTGAGGCTTAGCTCCTTCTCTATTGTCCCTGCCTTACCACTCAGTTTGGAGCTACTGTCACTGGAAAAAACAAATGCAGAAATCCTTTACGCATAACTCTACAAGTTTACCTGTCAGACTGCTAGTAAATACATTTATCAATACTAAATACAGTACCTTCCACTACCAATATCCTCTGCCAACAAAAGCATGTATTTTGGAGTAGAATTCAGACTCTGGAGGAAAAAAGTTCATTATTTTTGTGAGGTAAAAAATGGCAATGATTAAAGATAAGTATCGTTAAACTGGTATCAAAAGCAGTTTTGGTTTTAAAATTATAAAAAAAAAAAACACTGGGTTGATCAATTTGAGGGGGGAAAACATATATTTACTCATCCTCTCATTCA